GCCCTGAGTGTTTGGCATCACTTCCTCCCACAATGCACCTCAGCATGGAAATGACATTCATTTAGCTTTACTGCATATTAACCATCGCTCAAACTCACATACCAAACTGCTGTGTAGTAGGCGTTTGTCTATGTTTGGCTAGTGGCGCCACCCAGTAATATAAATAGCTGACTTTATGCCACTTGCCTCACTCTATTTACTTTATACACATAAAACATTATTGCATTTATCAAACGTATCTATACCGGGTTAGGATTGAAAACACAATTATTAAAGCACAACCCGTTACAAAATAGAATTATTTAATAAAATGATACCTTTATATGTAACTCCGAGACAGAAAGAAATAAAGAAAAGAAAAAAAATCAAAGGTTAAACAAATCATCCCGACGTATTTTAGGTCAAGTCAATTTATTTATATAGCCCAATATCTTTACAATCTGCACAGCATACAACAGCCTCTGTCCTTTTTCACCCTTGCTTTGAGTAAGAAAAAACTTTTTCAACCTTCTTTTCTTTTTTTTGTCTTAATTGTTTCTATTCTTTCTAAGGGTCGTGCACTCACCACCTCACCACCTCCATTAGAAAGATTTTTAAAACAGGCTAAATGGACTGCATTATTATAGCGCCCTTCTACCTCACCAGACAAAGCGCTTTACAACTTACCTCTCATTCACCCACACATTCACACACCGATGGACGGCCTCCTAATACATCGACATGGGGCAAGCAGTGCAAGCCTCCTAAAGCTTGAAACTTCCACTTTACATTGCCGCTAAAACCTTTTCCATCTGTAGCACTAAGGTGCTACACAAGCTACACACAAAGCAACCGTTTATGTTCAGGGATTTGACCAAAGTGGGTTCAAATAACAGGAACGGGTTGAACTGGCCGTTGCTTCTTTGCAGTCCTAAAACTAATTCAGCTGCTTCTATTTTACGTGCACTTGTGACATTTACACGTCTTTAACCGACAGTGGAGCATTTGATCAATTGAAAAAAAGAGGCAACAACATACAGCATTGTCCTCTTGATGATAGAGTAGCTGACCGTAAATTCATACTGTGTTGAATAGATGTGTGGTATTGAATGATCCCGTGGTATACTGGTGTGGCTCTTGTGAGCCTGTGTAACCTGTGGGGGGTGTTTGATGTGCCCTAAAGGCAGAGGGAGGAGGCTGAGCCCATAAAGAGCTATAAAAATAAAGAGAGAGAGAGAGATGTGTGTGTGAACCCGAAGGACTACAACACAGACCTGAACCATTAAGCGCAGACGAGACATAAAAGAGGCTATCAAAGAGTGTAAACTACAGATTCCCATTATTGTGTGACATTAGCCCATAGCACACAGTAACCCTTAATGATCCCATGGGTGCCTGCAGCACACTGTCCTTTAATGACTTGCTGGTTGAATGAATGTTGCTTCCTGGAAGCCAAATACTGCCAGGGAAGAAAAGAGCACTACAGCTCCCCGCGCCCTCGTCCTTTGCATAGCAGAACGCCAGTTTGTCCGCTGTGCGGTTTCGCTAGAAATAAGTCCGACATGGATTGAAGGGATGAAAGGCAGAGTACCATCAAACAAACAGCAAATTAGTCCCTGTTTATGTAAGCACCAAACTATTTATGCAGATAGGGGATCATACAGGGTTGGATCAATTAAAAGAGATATGGACAGACTGAAACTTCACACTGCGCTAATTAGGCAGCCAGCCACTATGCTCAATAAATGGAAATATATTCCTTTACATTCCTTTCCCTCTGTCTGTTTGCGTGCCTCGCGTCACCCTGAGGAGTTTAACAGGACACTAATTCCCCATCTAATTTTCCCCCAACTCCTCGTTGCTTTCGCTCCCCATGTCTCTCTGCCTCCATCCCTCTCCGTCTTTCTTCTCACGCTGATAGCTTGTCCCACAGGGATCCCAGTAGTTGTCAGTAATCAAGGAAATCACTCTCAAAGAGTTACAAATAGGTCACTTATCTGATGTCTGGTCTGATCTGACGGAGACAGACAGCCAGTTAGTTCCTTGCATCTGCTAGTTTTTGCATGATTAGTAGCCATTCTATCTGCCAAGAGGTACTGAAGTGAAAGAATGAAGGACAGCGATAGATAGATAGAGAGGGATGGAGAGGAGGATAGAAATCCCAGCTTTCATCATTAGCGTTCCATTCAAATGGCTCAATTGAGCAGTTGTCACTCATGGGATTCCCAGGACTCCGAGAAGCCGTGTTCCTTCATTTATTCAATTTATTGATATAAAGACTCTTCATTAAGAGACACCGGCAAATGTGACATCTGGTCTCAGGTGGCCTTGATGTGGAATTCTTAAAGCAGGCGTGGAAAGGCAGAGGCCGCATGACGTGTAAGAGCTCCTTTTGTCTCCTCTAGGGGCTGTTCCACCAGTGTGGCAGCTACACGCGGTCTGCTTTGAAGCTCCAGCGAAGAGACAGATCGCATGCGAACACTCAGACACTCACACCACCAGACACGCAACCCCGCGCGCGCGCACACGTCCGGATGCCGAAGCGCAGAGCCGTGGCAGGTGAAAACTTCACATGTTCGTTTCCCACATGACGGCCTTGTTAATTATTGAACCGAGCTGGTCCTTTTGATCCTCGCTTTGCTGTGCTCACAGAGAATCTCTTACCTGTCAAACACTTCACATCACACACATACATGGCTACAAGCTGCCTCTTATGCACCCGAGAAATACTTACATTCAGAAATAGATGAAGGGTAGTGTTTTCTTTTTGTGTTTTTTCGTTGCAGTATTTTTTTTTTTTTTTGCATGTTCCCACAACTCGACCAGATCTGGCTGAGGCCTTAACAAGCTTGTCTACTTCCCAGATAACACAGAGAATTTCTCAGGCATGTTCTCGTTACCGCAATGCATAATCCGTCTGTTCTGCACCGCGTTATGACACTGATGAGGGTGAATGATGAAATTAAGTTATTATTGATGCGTCATTTCATCCCGCTTTGATTAGCAGAGGGTGGGCGTCGTGAATAATAAATGTAATCAGTCTTACAGTATCATTGTCATGCTACAGTGATTACATGAACGTCGAGTAGAACAGCCTGAGTGCACAGATTGATGGGAGTAATACTACGCTGTACATTACACCTGAACCTGCAAGGTCCACGTACGGATCCTGTGTGAAGCGAGCGCAGGAAATGAAAATTGCCGGTGTGAAAGCTTGCATCAGAGTGCTACACCGTGGGTGTGGGAGGACCACGTTGGAAATTAGGAGACGGGGTTTCATGTTCAAACAGAGAGATGTTTTATGCAGAAGCCGCCGTCACTGCTGAACGGATGAAGTAATTTCATTTTCATGCATGATCTGCAGCCCCACAGACCGGGGAAATTGCAGAGGAGGAGAAGAGAAAGATTGAGAGAGAAAAAGATCCAAGCCTTCCTTTTCTCACCATTTGACTCCGGGATTATTACCTCTGATTTGTAATTTGTAGCCAGAGTGATGGTTCAGTCCCAGTTTGGAGGGAAGAGGATATGAAGATAAAGCACCAAGAGATAGATTAAACTGTCCAGGACCCATAAATCCATAAAATCAATCCATATTACTGGATTTATAGAGTCATTGGCCACTGTAATTTGATTAAATGATTCCTGTGAATCAGTATACTAAACGTGAACACAGTAATCACATTACAGCTTTGTATACTGAGTCGTACCGTAGTTTGTTTTAGATGATGATTCCCAACCACAAATGGCGGCTGGGCAAGCGTTTTGCAGTGAACGGTGCCGCCCCGAGCATATTGAAGATATTGAATATGTCGCAGGTCCAAATTGCACCAACTTCAACACTGCACTTCCTTGGGTGCCCAGCAATACACACGCCAAGTGTGAAGTAGGTCGCATGAGTGGTTCTATAGATATGCAAAGGACACACACACAGACAGAGATTCCTTGATGTATAGATAATGCTGCTACAGCGCCGCCTATTGACACCAAATTTCCCATGGTCCCTCACAGACATCATATCTACACATAACATTTTTTGGTAATATAAGCCTTGCCCACAGAAGGCATTTGAGCAAACTGTATGGAACTTTAAAAATCCATAAAAGTCCAGAGATGTTCTGCACCAATTTGGTGACAGTGTACAAATCTTTCTTGTATATGGATAGGAAAAGGGATTTTTGTTTTTGAGGTTCTAACGTTATCTGGCCAAATTACTCCCAGTTCAATGTTCTTAGGTCCCCAGCAATGCACCCACCTGGTGATCGGTTCTTGAGATATGTGAAGAACACACACACACACACACACACACAGACGTACAGAGATTCTTTACTTGATAGTTAGATGTCACATTAACGTTGTTGCATTGTGCTGTGAGATAGTTGAATCCTTGGAGCTCATTGGAAATCAATGCCACAGAAATGCTTCAATCCCATCTCCTTTTGTCTTCTTCTGAGTTAGGACGGTGCTGAGCAAAAGTATTGATATTTCTATTGCAGTGGCAGTGGAAGCGTACAAACTGAAACTTGTTCAAAGTAAAATATATCACTCTTTAAATGTCACATTTTGATTTGTGTGAGAAATAACTGAGGTGTTGAAGGTGAAACAGGCACATTGAGATATTAAGCGCCAGTCAGACATGGTTGAGAATAACAGGCAGTTAGCCGTCAAAAATACCAGCATAGCTGGTAGTAAGGTCATTTTACACTTGCTCAAGGTCTGCCGAGACGCCGCCATGAAGGAAAAGAAAACGAAAAACTCAACAGGTCAGACAAAATCATCTGAACGTGGCTCTCATTCCCTCACTGCACGTTGTTCAATTTTCAGTTTTTAGCTTCAGGCTGTAGGTTCAAAGTGTGAGCTCAAAAAGAAAGATGGCAGTGAAAATATTTTCATCTGTGTTTCTATCAAACACCCCGTGTCCTTTCACGCTTCTCTAAAACTGTATTTCACAATGCGTTTTGTTCTCTATGTGCAGGAAGAAAGCCAAGGCAGCGTTAAACTTGTTTCTCTGGTTCTCTTCTCAGATCCGCTCAGATCAGGACAAGGCGTCTGGCATCCGCTACAGCATCACGGGAGCCGGCGCCGATCAGCCCCCGAGTGGGATCTACAACATAGACCCCATCAGCGGCAACATGTTTGTCACCCAGCCCCTGGACCGAGAGGAGAGGGCCTCCTTCCATGTAAGGACGAAGCCAGTCCGTCTTGTCTGTTTCTGTGTCGTCCCCCCCCCCTATCTCCATTTCCGTCCGTCTCATTATCTCCTAATCATCCCTGTGGAAATGAGCCTCGCCTGTCCTCTTTCCCCATCTACCTTTCGTTCTAACCCTAAATGTTGCCTGCCGAAACAAAAGCACAAGTTGGAGCGCGTTCAGAAAAAAAGTGTACAGTACCTCCACACCAGCATCTCAAGGTTCTGATTAATGCCGAAAGCCAAGCGATGAAAGGACGAATGGCTCGACAAAACACTCAGCCACTTTGACTGGCATTTGTATCGAGGTTTAACCGCACAGAGTGGCGCGGCGTGGATAGAACAGAGGGAAGAGAGACAGAACCAAGGTGGAGTGCAGAAAAACTGTTGTCTTTGTTCTCACCATCAGAGCTAATGAGCAGGTGCAGCGTCTAGTGTGTACCAACATGTCTGGAATGCTGATTGATAAACAGGGTCGGGGCTCTCGCTTCCCCAGTTCTTCTGACTTTCTGTCTGTGTGCGCCCGGCCTTCCCATCTTGTACCGTACTGCTGTACCCCCCTTCCCCACACATGTTGTCCCACGCTCACCTTGTGCACTTTACAGCTGTGCCGTTCAAAGGTGCAGGCTAACAGCTGCACAGTTAGCGCTGCATATGGCCCATAGGATTCCCCGACACACACACACACACACAGACAGGAGGCTGGAGGTTGGAGTTCATGCCTGGCCCCCTCTGGAACCCCGGGGGTTAAACAGCTTTATGAATCTGTGAATTAAATATGCAGACCACATGAGACTTGTGTTAACGCTACAGGCCATTGGTTTACATACACACATTACAGGCTTCAGTTTATATCCAACATCCCCCGCTCGAGGTGAGCGCTGGTGTCAGACTCCCGACACCCGCGTGCCTGACAGCATGATAGATGGCTGCGCTGCTGATAGAGCTAATTCAAAAGCATGCTGCCATCTCAGAGGAAGAATAGAATGAAGGAGAGTGGATCTCTGTCAGCGCACACATTATAAACACCAATGGACACGCGCCTAAACAAACACTAAGCTCTAGATGATTGCCTTCTTGATTGGTTTGTCACATACTTTTGTGAGTGTGTGTGTGCTCCATTTAGTTTTAGATGAGCCTCTTGTTATCTTACTTGCTGCGTTCAGGGCTCTGGACACCGCCGCGCGTGTGTTTGTTGTCTCTCCATACCTGCTCTTACACTCAACCAGCAAATTGGGATCAATAAAGCAGCCAGTTTATTGGTCCCTGGGAAAGGACAGCCGCTCAGTAAACAGTTCTTATTTGACACTGCCTGTAGTGAAAACAGCATGTTGGGTTCAGAGCACTTCAAGTTGAATGCGGCTCCTGTTTAGACTCCCGTGGACCAATGCTGCCTGTGATGCAATGTATGATTTAATGTCGGAGAATGTAGCTAGATTTCGACCCAGGGGAAATTTTAGTCCATCGCTTACTTCCTTTGAACTATACAGAAAGTCCCCAGCACTGCCGCACTCTCACTGGCCAAACTTTGCTTGTTAGTTTTGGGTTCAAGTGAAAAGAGCGTCGAGGCTGCTGTTTTTGACAGACCGGCAGCAGAGGGGAAGTGATCTGCGAGGTGAGGAGAGCGGCGGTTAGCCTCAGCCTCATACAGGACCTACTGTGAGTCACAATTGAGCAAATATGAGAATGTTTGGTTATTTTTTAGGGTTTGTTTGTTTGCATGAATGTGTGTACTTCAGTGTACAGTGAGATTACAATTAGTGTATTATGCTGTACAGGTTGTAAAGCCCCTTGAGGTAAATTTGTGAATAATTACAATATTGATTGTTTCTTGATTATTAAAATGACACGGTTGCTGACGGTGCTTTTTTTAGGAACAAACCCCTCCCTTTTGTTAGCGCATGAAGCCATGTTAATATTGTGCCTGTGTCTGAGGAGAACTTGCGCGTTTAATTACCCAGGTTAAACGGAAAATTGATTTTCAATTTTAAACATCGTCCTAAACCAATTCGAATTAATTGATAAAAACGATTTATAACGCAGGTCTAGGGTAAGGGGACCGCCGGGCCAGATACAAACTGTACTTCTCCTCTGTGGTTGGTCCAGTCATACTAAAGCTCACCCTGCAGAATACTGATGTACACACACACATACACTTGCAGTCTGCGAGACGCACACACACTCCTCCAGGCCCCGAGATCACATTTCCAATTCCTCTATCGAGCACACAAACACTGGAACATATAAACAGACTCTGGCGCTCACGCACGCACACACAGACGCGATTATAGAGATTTAGAGACACACAGAGGCAGGGATGCACACACATATCCAAAAAACACGTTTTACCACAGACAAAAATGCACAATCATTATCACACATTCACACCCACACGCACTGGAGCAGTCACACATATCCCAGTCACACATCCATCAGCGTGCAGTGTCCACAGCTGAGAAAACAGATTGGGCTTGTTTGTTTGTTGGGTCTCCTCTCCATCTTTGTTTGCTCTGCTCCGGCCAATGGAAAACAAGCATCTTGAGGACCATTAAGTGGCTAAAGAGGGGGCTCTTTTGATTGGCTGTGTGTTTGTGCCCCCTCTCTAGCGTGTATCCGTTTGCTTTTGTCAACATCCGCGTCTAAATCGGTGTGCGCGCGAATGCTCAAGCGGCCGCATGTTCGGTGATGTTTCGAAACATCTCTGACAGGCAGGCACAAAGCCGACATGATTAGCGGCGTTGCGGCGAAGCGCAGGTGCCACCACTCCATCTTTCATGTTGCCCCACAATACATCACTTCCTGTAAATAGGCTGGCTGGCAGGCAGATCCTCCTCAACTGTTGTTGACAAAATATTTTGCTGCCAGTGTGTCAGCTTTAGCCAGAATGAGAGCCCCTCACCAAGCCAAGCTGTGATTGAATAGCATTTCGGCAGAGGATATGTATTCCTAGGCAATTGGATGAGGGTAATGTAAGTCACAGTGAACACTGCCGGTTTGGTTCCAGGGCTATTACAAAGCTCCGCGTTATGTTAGATATCATTAGCGGGGATTGGTGGGGAGTGGAGGGTGTGTAACAGCAGCGGTGGAGATTAAGACATCCCAGTGTCGATGATGATTGCTTTTGTCAGTCCTCCCTGTTCAAGCCCCCCCACTGCCTCTTTGTGCTTTCATCTCTCATTTACTTGCACAAGGCTCAGTCACTCTCCTCCTCTCCTTCCCATCTCATTCAGCCTTTTTTTCTTTCCCTTCGATGCTCCTCTCCTTCGTTCTCTTCCTCTTTGCTCTCACTCCTCTCACACACCGCGAGTTGTCGAGGAACAGCTCATCAGTCGGGAGACATCCATCCAAAAGGCTGGCTTTGTCGGAAAACAAACGCGAGACAAAAAAGAAGCCACAGCATGAGCAGAAACACATCTCTGATATTTTCTTAGGCCTCTGGCTGCACTAACAACAAAATAGGTGTTGTTTGTGTGTCTGGAACATTTCACGACTTTGTCCCTTTCCGTGTTGTTGTGGTCCGTGCCAAGATGCCAACAGGATGCTCGTGCCCCGTTGGCAAACAAGAAACGGAACGTTTGCCAATTAGATGAAGTTGCCAATTAATAAAGTCAAAGTGTGTGTGTGTGTGTGTGTGTGTGTGTGTGTGCACCGAGTTTGTTCCGGTCCAGACATTCTGCACACGCTCATATCAATCAAGCCAGCGGCCTGTTGTCAGATGAGCTACATTTGGAATATTTATTCACGCTCATGTTCAGCATTGAATGCTAATAACGCCATCTTTCTGTGTGTGCGTTGCTGTTTCCCTCTGTTGGCAGCTGCGAGCCCATGCAGTGGACATGAATGGCAACCAAGTGGAGAATCCGATCGATCTGTACATCTATGTGATCGACATGAACGACAACAGACCTGAGTTTCAGAACCAGGTGTACAACGGCTCCGTGGCTGAAGGGTCCAAACCAGGTGAGAGTGACCGGGCGTGTTTATTCCTGCTTTGAAATACAACAATCTGAAAAATGAAGTTTTGTTTTGTGGATTCACCGCTTTGTTCTCACTAATACAGCTCCCTCTCTTCATTCATTCTCTATCCCCTTCCTCTCTCTATCTCTCTCTCTCTCTCTCTCTCTTCTGTCTCAATTTCTTCCTCCCTCTCTCTCTGTCCCTCTATCGCCCTCTTCTTTCTCCCTTCCTCTCTCTTTCTCCATCTCTCTCTCCCTCTCTCTCTCTCTGTCTCTCTCTCCCTCCCTCTCCTTCCTCCCTCACTCTCTCTTTCTCCCTCTATCTCTCTCCCCCTCTATCTCCCTCTCTCCCCCACTATCTCTTTCTCCCTCTCTCTCTCTCCCTGTCTCTTTTTTCTCTATCTCTCTTTTCTTTCTTCTCGCTCTCTCTCTCCCCCACTATCTCTTTCTTCCTCCCTCCCTCTCTCTCTCTTTCTCTCTATCTATCTCCCTCTCTCTCTCTATCTCTCTCCCTCTCTCTCCCTCTCTCTCCCTCTCTTTCTCTCCCTCCTTCTCTCTCTTTCTCTCTATCTATCTCCTTCTCTCTCCCTCTCCCTCTCTCTCTCTCTCTCTCCCTCTCACTGGCTGAGTCAGGGAGGAGAGAGCGACTTCGAATGGTGTTTTTACAAACAGCAACCAACGATGCTGCATAGTGCTTTTAACAGACACTTGTGGGGATTTGTACATAGACTTTGTTGTATGTATGCAAGAGTATCATGTTTGCGCCTCTCAGATTCAGGATTACCGAACATACCAACTCAACAACAAAGCTCACATTGTGACTAAAGAAGAAGCGAACAGGAAGTGTCGCTTCATTTTATTATAGGAGGACAATATGAGCTCAAACTGCACTTTTTGTTCAGCTCTGACTAGAGAATGGAGTCATAATGGAACCATAACATACCTATAAATACAAGCCTGCAATCACCTCCAATTGTTACACTTCAAAATGTGTAATGTAACAACTGAGGTCAACACAGAAGTTGCAATAATCCATTTGAAGCTGTTTTTATTGTATTGGTTTGAAATACTCAGAATTGCTGGAAGACAATGTTTGAAATGACAACCTCTCTTTGTTTAATGATGTGGGTTACATCCTCTACTTCAGTCAAATTGACCAATCAGATGCTCTTTTTTTTTCTCCAATCTTCAGAGGGCCCTTAGAAAACCTTAATGCTTCAATCTTACTCACGGTGTCCTCGACTAAACTTGGACTTGTATGCCCAACCGACATTCTGACGTGTTGAATTCGCCGTGACTCGTGTCGGTTCAGACGAGGGCGAGTTCATGAGATATTTGTGTCACAGTGTCTTGGCCGGATGCATCATTATCAGATTCTGCAGAGCATGGAGAGATGCAGACCCTCGCTCGGAATCCGGGAACAGAGCTGCGGTCAGTGCGAAGCCAGAGACGAGAGCAGAATGCGCAAGTAGCTTTCATGTCTCGACTGGAAGAACTCTTGTTCTAACAATCAGACCCCGAGGACCCATGTTTGTCTTCACAGCGTTCAGATATTGTTCTGTTGCAAAGTTTAATCTCAGGGGAATTTGTAAACAATATAGGAAAGCATGTTGTGCGTGTACGTGTGAGTGTGTGTATGTATGAGCAAGTATGGGATTGACTTTGTGTGTGTGTGTGTGTGTGTGTGTGTGTGTGTGTGTGTAAACTCTGGTTACTCCTCAGTGGAGCGTGAGTCTATGTACAGAGCTCCTAATTAGCGAGGGCAACCAGACATTCCAAAAGCTACTTTCTTCGTTTTTTCACTCTGATAATCTCTGTTTAGTTTCAAATGAGAGCCTGTGATGACAAAAGTCTTTGAGTTAGATTTAGTTTTGAACAGAAGGTAATCTGTGCTACCAATTAACAAAAAAAATATGTTACACTGTGTACAGTATAATTACGCTGCTCGTCATTAAGCAATCACTGCCAAGAAACATTTGTTGGTGGATGACGGTGTTGAGAGTTGTGTCAGAGAAGCTTAATGTGTGCGGAGCTTCCTTTTGCTATTTGGTCTCTGAATTGATGAATTTTAATTAGAAAAATAGGCCGCAACGCTGTGTTGGCCTAATTGCCCGTTTAGCCGAAGAAAACAGGAAGGACTGCGATTCATCTTCAGTGTCGGTTTAAGGAGACATTCTATACTATATATAGTCATATATCCTCCGCCAGTGAAAGTGAAAGTTCCGCACAGCTTTGCCGAAGTTGTTTTTTTGCACCCAGCAGTACCGCAGATAGAGAGCGGGTTACACATGTCTTTTTTTTTTAATGACTTTTGTGATCGGATGCACCAGATTATAACTCAGTCGTGTCCACATATGTGTGTCCACACTTCAGATCATGATCCAATATATTTTGTGATCAAAGGAGCGGCTGGAAAACGGTGGAAAACACATTTAATTTCCATTTAACTTCTAAAGTCTTCACAATAAAAGTACCCCGTTGTTTTTTTGGCTGCTCGTCATTTCAATGGAAGTCGGTGACATGAAGCTACAAACTGACGGCGACACTTGTCGATGTGTTTTTGTTGCTGTTACCCAGTTCCTATTTAACAGCATGACTACATCCCACGAGCGCGGGTGCAACATTTCAACGGTGACTCATTTACAATGCAGCTGGCCACACTGGACCGTTTTGTTGCTTGTAATGTGAACATAGCATTACTCTTCCTCCCTGCTGGATCAGTAGACAGGTTTTATTGAAAAATAGTTGCCAACAAAGCTTAATTAATTCAGTGATTAACACATTTTCCTATAAGTTCTTCACCTTAAAAGTCCCCCAAATGCAGTTTAGATAACAAGCATTAATTGATATCAATTCTGACTTTGACTACAAAACATAGAATCACAAAACCTATAGCAACAACAAGAAATATTACGACTAAATAAAAGAACTATCTGAACTTGAATGGAGAGGAATGTGAGGCACTGCCACGCACAAATAGTACTTATTTCTGGTTTGGGAATGCCTCAGATTCTCTGGATTTATCACATTTTCTCTCTTTCAGTCTTTACCTTTCAAAGTCCTAAAGAGCATGTTAGCTGCTGTTCTATGTATTTATTTATTTGTTACACTTATTCACTATTTTGACCCCTCTACAGCACCTGTGCTTCACAGATCCCCCAGTGTGCATCAATCAGTCTGTGGACTCAAAAGACACCCATGGAAATTCCTCAGGTGTTGCTCCAGGTGACACTCTCTCGTTCCCTCCTGCCTACAGGTGGTGTTTTGAAACCTATCACAGCGTTGCAGCTGACAGGTTCTGCTCGGGGCGCGGTGTCCAGCGATGCTGCTGGAATATCTCAATTCTCTGTCTCCGACTGCCCACAGCAGGTTCAAACAGCGGTGAAACATCAAAGAATATTCCTATTTAAGATTCACAACAAAATACAGTTACAGTCACAAACATCTATGGTAGCCATGCACTGCTTGTGCCCATCAGGACACGGAGAACTTAATACTGCAAAAAAAAATCATGCTAATATGAGATGCAATAGTTGAGTGAGTTGTGGTTATCATAAAACTTGTGCCATGAAATGTATTTAAGGGTTATTTTACCCGGATCCAAGAACCGACCTGCAATTAAAAACACATTTTCTCACTTACCTCTGAAGACAAACTTCTCAACAGAAGGAAAGAAAAATGAAATGATCTGCATGATAAGACACTACTAAGTGTAAATGCTTTAAACTTAAGAAAATGTCCTGATGGCATGCAGCCAATGCTTATACTTTATTATCCGAATAAGAGCTCAGTGGAAGACGTATTTATCGGCCCTGTCTCAGCAGAAAGATGTATATAACTATATAGAATCATTTCAAATGTTTAATGTTTTGAAAATGTGTGGAACAGCAACAACCCTTTATTATGGATAGTTGTTTAATAAAAAGCCTTGGGCCCCTATTTTTTTTTTCCTAAATGCCAAGCAGAGGGGGGATATGTGTAAAGCTGCAGTGGTATCACATTCTGTATCTACAGACCCCGATATCAAAGGTTCTCCAAAGCATTACAACACATCTTCACATCTAGCACCATGTAAAAACCATCAAAGAAGGGAGACCTACAGGGAACCGCCCTTATCGCCGTCACCAGATGTTACGGAGTGAGAGATCCGATCAAGCCGTCAACCAGGATCAGTGTGAAACGGCTTCATTTGTCGCTTTCTTCCTCCGGGCCCCTGCTCAGCACCGCGTGAACCTGTGACTGATATAATTTAATTTGTGCAGGTAATCAAATGTACCAAAAACAGTGCATGACAAAATGAGCTATCGCAGCACATTCACCTCTTGTTGATGAGGAATAAATGGGATTCAATATGAAACTAGGATTATCCTGAGAAACCTGATAAACCTTTTAAATGTGTGCAAATATGTTGACTATCATGAAAACAAAACATCTGTAGCTCAAGAGCTACACAGTACACACACATACATTGAAAAGAAATATACATTAAACACATTCGCCTCTTCAAGGTCACCAAAATGATCCGAATTTCTGTAACATGCTCTGGACTGATGCATGAGAGGGCCCCTGCGTTGTGTTTAGTGGCCTCGCATAAAGATATGCTGACGTGACATGACTTCCTCAGAAAGCCCTCACGTTGTGATGCTGCAGTGTACTCGGAACATCTGCCCTGTGACGCTCTGTCCTTCTCCTTCCCTCCCCCTTCTCCCCCGACTCTGGCAGCAAGTTGTTCCCTTTTATGGAGCGTCTTCCTCCCTAAATGAGAGTGCAAGATCAAAACCAGCCGCTGAGTGCCTTCTCTCACAGTCGATTTGCTCTCCAAATGGGGGGACAGGTGCGCTGCGTCTCTCTCTCTCTCTCTCTCTCTCTCTCTCCCGCTCTGTCCTGAAGAGTTTGCTAACAGTTGCAGAGAGGTTTAAGAGACTTTCCCTCTCCGTCTTGCCTGGGGGGGTTAATTACGGATCGGCACAGGAGGGGAAAATGCAGTGATGGAGGCGAGCGGAGGTGAAAAAGCACAACGATATTTCAATCAGTATTGAGCCTGGACTTTGTGAGCAGGTGTGTCTCACTGTGCTCCTGATTGTTCGTCCATAGTGCCGAGCCAGACAATTTTTTAAGGACACAGAGCGTCAGCGGTTAGCGCTGTCTCTGTGTCAGTTTCCTTCTTTTTTGTTGACAAGTTTGTTCACACGCAAGCAATGCAGAGCAGATAATTAATTGCACCTGTAGGTATAAGTGTTATAAATAGGTACTTTAACAGCTTCACAAGTAACCGGAAAACCCTCGACATCCAAAAATAACTCCTCCCATGTAGTTGCTCTATTGCCTTTCTGTGTGACGGACTGGAGTCCTCTGCAGGTTCGGCTGTTTGCCCTCCACACCGGCTCGGGCGTCGGCCTGCATGAGGGTAAACAGTTAGCAATGCTCCTCAGGCACGGCTATCATGCAGTAATAGTGAATAGTGAGCATTGGATCTGGCCTTTGCATCGATTTAGAAATGCTGCGAATGGTTTTACTCTGTCTTCATGTTGTCGGAGAGTAGTGGGCTCAATTAGAGGCCCTTGTGTGAAGACTGTGTGTCCCCTTCATCACTTCCCCCAAGATTCACCAGGTTTCAACCTTTTCTCTTACCTCCCTTCTCTCTCAACCTTCTTGCTATCTATCCACTGTACGGTGGCCTCTTCTTCAACCTCTATCTTCCCTCCACTGATGAGAGTTATTATCCTCTTACTCCGTCCATCCCCTGCCCTCTCTGCCCCTTACTTCCCCTTGTACTTTTGCTTTTAGTGGTCTTTATAAACCCTCACCTCTATCCTCGCCTTCACTTTCTTTTTCTGCTCTCCAATTTCCTCCTCTGCTTCCTATCTTTGCATCTGTGTGTGTATCGCCCTGTTACTGTCTATCTCGATCCGTCTTCCTTCTTTTTTTTCTCCTCTATCTTCCCTGTAATTGGGAGGCAGATGTTGACTCTGGCTGACTAATGTTTCCGCAGCAGATAGACCTCACCGGTGATCTCAAGTCACGTGAGCAAAATGGCCGACAAAATGCGCGCCTGCCACCAGTCAAATTTTCAGCTCCAGCGATTTTGGCGGAAAAGCAATTAGGATTTGGAATTAGTGTTCAAATTAAAGAGGAATTAAACAGGCTCAGAGATTAACCCATTCAGGCATGGCCGCCCCTCCGTGGATGTAAAAGCGCACCATCATCATATCACTGAATCCTCCTCGTTGAAGTGAAAGGTAGCAGCACTGACATGTGATTCAACATCACGTCCTCTCCCTCCCTACGGGACTGGAAAGGCTGATTATATATATATATTGACGCTGTCTTCGGTGGAATAGCCGTAATTGTTTTTCTTCTTCTTCCTTGGACTCTTTTCTTTTCATTGCTGGAAAAAAAGTGACAAATCCTTCTTAGAAACTTAATGACGTTTGAAATAGAATTCGAGGCTACAATTATCCTGTCCATACAGGCTGTCACAGGAATGATGGCGCCATCTAGACCCAATTATGGGAATGGAGACACCTGTAACTGCTCAGACCTAGAAGGGACAAGCGAACCTGCCACCAGCCTGGCAGCTCTGCTGGCTCGGCTGACACGTTACATTTATGAGGCAAAACTTACTTCTGCTGTACACTGAAACATACAAGCTTTGGGGGGTTTTGTGACTTATTTGAATTGCTTTTGATGTGATAATTGAACATTGTTGGTTTAGTGCAGGGTCAGCATGGCACCCACCACCCACCGTCGTGCCCACTGAGGTAACCAGAGTGCTCACGCATTAGCTGCTGAGATGCTTTTTCGTGCTCACTTACATAAAAACAGTGGTATGTTTTTAACATTTTTATCAAAATTACAACATGTAGGCGTTATAATTACCACTCTCTCCTTTTCTCTGTTTCCCTGTCGGCTTTTTATACTACAGCAGCTCCTATGTCCTTGTCGCCCCTCCTTTATACGTTTTTCTCTCCTTACACTGTCTTCTCATTTAAGCATGTTAGTGCTCCAGCCATCTCTTCTCTCTGCTGTGCCCCTCCTGCGAGCTGACAGTGTACTTTTTGGCTGCTGCAGCAGCAGCAGCAGCAGCCGCCTGTAAATAGCTGCCTGATGGAAAGTGACATTTTCACAGAACCCTTTGAGAGAGGAGAGGTGATCTCTCCTCTTTCCAGCACAAAGTGCTCCTAATTGCCTGGTCGCATTTGTGAGCCCAGCTGACAAACTCGTGCAAATCAATAATTCTGCTCGGGGAAGATGCGGGGCCACGGGGCCCCTCGCACTGATACGTGCTGTGAAGACACACACACGTACACACACACGTGCATACGCATACAGATGCACACATATACGTACCTGTAAGTAAACGCAGACAAACATACACTCTCACACACACACACACACACACACGCACTCCGCCTGGCCAGTGCTGTGCTGTCTGCCCTCAATGGCAGTGTTTATCCGTGATTCTAAGACAAATGGGGAGAGAGCATCGGAGCATTAAGGGCAGCCACGGTGCCGCTGAAGGCTGAAATAATGGATGGTGGAAATTGCAGAAGACCCAGCGCTGCTCATTACTAAATGGACTCTGCAGAGGTGGAAACTTTGCCGCACCAGCTTTCTATATACAGATGACAGAACAGTGCATCCTGAAAAACGGGGCTTGTTTAACAGCTTTTGTGTGTGTTGTCGTGCTCTGCTCTGAAATGGCTCTCACTCTAAAAGATGCTTTGCCAAAGAACAGAGAATGTCACAGCAATTAGCAAAGTCTGATTGACTTGAGTTTTCTCTGAGCCCTCTTCCTTCTCTTTGATATTCTTTAAATGTATTAACGGTAGCGGGAGACCGTCATTGTGCCATACATATTTTAAAAATGCGTGTGAGCAAAGAGACCTTGAAAAGCACATCTTCGTATTTTAATGAATGCCGCAACATGTTTTTTTTCCGTCTTGCTTTCGACCCTACTTGACCCTCTCTAGTGCCGTCATCTACTTTTCAGATTGTTCTATCAGAGTCTCCCCAGCTAACTAACTTTCTCTCCACAGGCTCATCTGTGATGCAGGTGACAGCCACCGACTCGGACGACTCCACCACAGCTAACGGCATGGTGCGCTACCGCATCCTGTCACAGTCGCCCCACAGTCCCATCCCCAACATGTTCACCATCAACAGCGAGACCGGAGACATAGTGACGGTGGCAGCCGGCCTGGACAGAGAGGTCAGTGTCAGCGTTGTGTCCCTGTTACTCTCACCGTTCGATCATTTTGCGTCTCATTTGTGTCTCATTTGTTTTCCACCTATAGCCATGAGATACAAGTCACTGACTTGATGTCGTATTATTATTCTCTTGGCCTTCAACGGTTTGTATGATACATTCAGGGCTTAATGTAGAGAGCCAGACAGACCAGAGCAGGTTTTTTTTTTTTACCTTTGAACAGAGAGAGGCAAGCTGTTCCCCGTCTTTACACTAAAGTCAAAAATGTATCCTGGCTCACGCTTCAGATTTGTATCAATCTCCTACCTGAGTCTTGGTAAGAAAGGGAATAAGTATGTTTTCCAAAATGTAGAACTATTTCTTTGCCCACCCAGCGACGAAGATGCCCATCGTCACTCTATTTTGGACTTACTTGATTTACGTTGGTAGCCAGCTACCGAGCTTCTCCCCACGATGTGCCCCCTGCTAAAGAAAGAACCGTATTATTTCACACAGCAGTTTTGCAGGAACTAAATCCCACATCATTTGCTCACACACGCACACAAAACACAGCTGGGTTGTGCTTCACCGCTGCTTGTGTCTCCATGAAAACGTCAAGTCAACTTAATTTCCCTAAATATTTGTCAAATAATGAACTGAAAATCCTATACATGAAGGTCTTCTTTTTCAACATCCGTTTACCATCAGCTTGCTTTATCTGGATGCACAATGCTATTAAATAGCAACCTGTAAATCCAGTGCTTCCTGCCTCACAAATCCCAATTTCATCCCTGGATGTCACTAAACCTTAAAAAAAAGTCAGGATTACTTTCAGCAGCTTTCGCCCTGTTAAAAATGTCAAATAAAACAAACCAAGTACCAAATGAATTCATTCGTTCATGTCATTTGTGTAGAAATATGAACGGCAGGCTAATATCTCATGTTTTTTTCTCAGTGCGTAGAGCAGGGCGGATATAATGGCAACGCAAATCCAGCACCGCTCTGCTGACGAGGTTGCGGGAGCTTTCTCTTCACTGCCGTCTTTTGTCTCGTCCACTGATGATGTGTGTGCGTGTTGCTTTCTGTGGTTGTTCACCAACCCACACACCACCACAACACACATATTGTATCTGCTCCATCTTCCGTCTTAATCTGCTAATGAGGAAGGTCACGCTGGGTCGATTTTTGTTTATCCCAAGATGCATCAGGTGACTGTTGGCCGTATATATTGTTTCATGGCAGATTGTTCATCCCGCAGCCTTTCTCTCACACACATGCACGCGAAACCTCTTATCTGTCTCTGTGGTGCGAGATAAAAAAAAATAATACAATTGGCAAATACAGGAAAACGTTCAAATTCATATGCCCCCATTATGAGGATAATCTCATCCTCGTAATTTAGTTGGCTGATTTTACTACCGACATTAAAGCAGCGTTGAGTGTGTCTCATAATGTTTATATTCTGAGAAGTCTCGCTGGTCCCTCTCGACACTAAACCCGGCCAAACAACACTTTTGAAATTAAAATTGGATTTTATCAACAGTAAGATGGAGCGTGTTTGGAGAATAATTACGGTTAAAATCTCAAGAACAAAAGTAGATTTCGATAACAGAAGAGTACAATACCGTACATCAATGCTCGTTCTTTATTCAAATGTTTCACAGAGCTGGCATGGCATGATAGCGTCGTACATTTGTGGGACAACATAAATGAGTCAAGTGAGTGCGAGCCAGTTCTGTGTCCCTGTTTCCAGCTTGGCCCTGGCGGCAGCAGTAGCAGCTGATGTGAGCGAGAGAAAGCTCATTAATCTGGACACATCAAGCCAGGCTCAGTCCCACCTGCCTCTGATCCTCCCACTAAAACTGGGACACACCTGGGAGTTCACCCACCTGCTGTCAAGGTCATCATCGCAAACACACAAACGTGCTCAGACACATGGGCACGTGCTGGCATGCACTATACTCCAATGCAGTGCTGTTTGTTGTTTAGATGCGGTGAGTCTCAAACAGAGTGAGGGGGAGCAGCAGATATGATGAATTAGATCCAAGGTGTCAAGCTGGATCCATGCAACCAGAGTAGTGTATACACACGCTGCTACACAACGACATGAATGTGCATATTCGCGGTATGGACACTGAATACCTTTATAAACACCTTTGCTGCACAAACTTGACGTTCCACATCTTCTCTCCCATCTCTTTCTTTCACACTTTAGCTCATCCTCGTCCACCATGCTGGTGTCTAATTACAATATTCATGTGCTAATTAAGGGGTGAGGCAGGTTCTCTCGTGTTGAGGAGACCAGGGGGTACATGGAGGTTAGCCTGGTATCACTTACCTCTGACACCGCTGAATACCAATTATTCTCCATCACTCGCCGCCTGCAAACCCCTCTCCTCTCCTGACCTCACATGCTTCCACTGTGTTCCTGCACACAAGCTAACGAGCCGGGCTAAGGCGAATACGTGTGTGTTTGACTCTATACATCCTACAATAGAACATGGCTATTCGTATGTGGGGTTCTGATTTGATTTTGTGATGTGCTGCATTTAAAAGGTTTGGGTAAAAATTTAAATTGCAATCGGTGAAGGTTTATGTTAGAGTTTATACAGTTTATAGGGCTGGGACAATATGCTTATCTAACAATTCAATGCTGTGACAATACTCCAGTGTTGATTCAATATGTATCAGGATTTTCATGTATTGCAATTCTACAGGTATTGCGATTCGATATTGCAGTTCATTGCGATTTTTTAAAAACTTTTAATAGCACTCGACCATGGGAAAAAGTTCCCATGAATTCAAATGTATCAGTAATTGTAAGGAATTAAATCTAAGAAAAAAAGACATTTCCGTGACAAATTACAAGATTTATAATTTTTTATTTAGTAATTATTTATTTTAATTTAACACGGACACAGGTAGCATGCATTTAACATAAATGTCAGTTCATGGGTACATTGCAGTTGTAGTGCTGGTGGATTTCACCGCGTAGATGTGAGTGAAGGCTGGTTTGACCGTAGTCGAGGTATCATATTGGATGTATTAACGTTCCTGCAAAATGATAACGCTACCTGTCAATGACAGAGTTTACATGTAGCTTTGCTTTAGCCGCGGTGAACTCAGCTCTTTCTGACAATGTGTGAAACCCAAAGTGTTTCCATACTTTACTGTATGTGTAGTGTTTACCATATTTAGGATTTAAAATGTGAGGGTGCAGGGCATATCCCCGCAGATTTCGGACCATCCGCCGTTTTTTGCTGCCTCGCTTCAGCTTTGTTTTTCTTGAAACGCATATGACGTCACGTTTCTCATAGATTACAACTACAAAAGCAGTAACTTCATCCTACCCCTGCATAGACTAAAAGAAAGCAATTGAATTTGAATTACACCGATTAAGGCATTAAAAAATATTTTGCGAAGTGAATCGGTTTTTTTCTTCCACCCCTACAGTTTTTTGTACAGTATATATGCTGTACCCAAAATAGAGTCGTCTATCAGTCTACCGTGAGAATACATTTTTAATGAAGTTCGAGTCTGGTGCAGCAGGTAGCAGAGCGGGAGATGTCCGGGTGCCACAGCTGGCGTGGATGTTCTCCCTTTGTGCCCTCTCTCCATGGCTGCGATTCTACTGGCAGGCAGAGCTGTTGTCTTTCATTACCCCAGGCTGTCTCAATCTCCCATGAGCCCTGGATTGGAACGGTCTGGCGTGGTGTGGTGGGGCCCGGCACCAGACCGTCCACCGGACCGATGCCAGCTCTAGGTTGGACTGTCTGGCTGATGATTAGGACATCGCCTGGACTGCCTCAAGGACATGAGTGCCCAAAGCCTGGCTCTATTACGATCTGCAGAGCCCCACTGGATACAAGCGGACGTCAGGCATCCTAAATGGGTCTGGGATTTTATTGTCTCAGAGACCCTGAGTTATGTTAATGCCTCGCCTTGCACCAAAGCTCCAGGAGCCAGACAGCACAGCCATAGGAAGATTGTGAGCGGGTTACTGAATGGAGAATATTGATGCATGCAGCTGGATGTTGACTGCTTGTTGCCCACATTCAATCAAGAAAACATCCACTCAATATCTACCTCATTATGTGCACCGAAGAAGTATTGAATTGGACCTTGTTTTGTCTTTAGAAAACATGAATCGTTGCACTTATGCCCTTCTAGTTTCAAACCATGTTTCTCTGCCCTCTCTTGTATTCTATTTTGGTCTGAGTTTAGGTCAATGCTCTCGGATAAATATTCACTACCAAAGCAAAATCTTAACAGATATTTGCAAATCCATTCTTTTGTCTGTTCTTTTCCCATGAATAATCCCTCGATGACTTCTCGACACCAGCCTATTCTTTAAAGGGCTTTGTCTCATTTGTTTACAATAGAATTCCCCAATATGTCCACAAATGTTGGACCCCATGAGGACCCTTTGGGAGGATGATCTGGCAGAAGAAATACTAAATATTTTTCATTGTATCAACACAAGACAAACACAAAATCCTGCAGTCTACCTATAAAACTAATACCAGGTTATCTCAAATCCATGTGATACATGTCAGCATTTCCCTTCAAAACGTACATATTTTGGCTTTGTCCATCCTGCAGTACTGGACGGAAATGTAAACACTATTTCAGATATTACCAGAGAGGCAGTTGTGCCAAACCTGTTTACAGGTTTATTCACGATCTCTCACATTCCGTCTCTTTCTGTAAGTAGACAGCATAGCTTTCAGACTGAAATATCTTGACTATACCTCTATATCTTGACTATATCTTAACTATACTGGATGTACTGTCATCAAATGTTGTACAGATATGTTCCCCGCAAGCTGAATGCTAATGACTTTGGTGATACACTGACATTCCCTCTAGCAGTTCAGATTTTGTATGTATTTATGTTATGAAATATCTCTCTTTTTAAAGAATTGGCACAACATTTGCTATAAACATGAATGGACCCCAGACATGTTCCTAATTACATTAGTGATGACCCCAGATAATAGCCTTCATCTAGCACCACCATGAGGTTGACATTTGTTGTTTTTAGCAAATATTGGATGGAGTGCCCTTAATTGTAATAACTTTGTTGATCCACTCACAGTTCTCTAACAATGCATCAGCCTTTAAATGTCCATTTACTTTGGATTATGATCAAATACCTGCCAAATTACTGACATTTCCATCTCCCTTCTTGTGTTTAGTGCTATATCGCAAATGTTAGCATGCTAACATGTAAAACTAAGATGGTGATCGTGTTAGACATTAAACCTTCAGCATGTTGGCATTGCCATTGTTAACATTTAGTTCAATGTCAGCGTGGCTGCAGCCTCTTTTTTTATGTCATAGATTGCTGCTCCCCTGTCTTCTCTCTTAGATGCCTAACATTTCCCTTTTTTTCAGTTTGTGCCAACAAGTCTGGCAAAAGCATATTGATAATGCCAATATTTGCTTAATCGTGTCCTGTCTGTTATATTGTAATGGTCAGTTGGACCATTAACTAAATGTCTTGCCCTGTCTGCATGGTTTATTCTTTATTCACAGAATAAAGAATACACTATAATAATATGTGAGTCATATTCACATGTGACTCACAGCCTTTGTTTATCTAGTATGTGACTCTGAGCTGTTTGCGTAAATGTGGAGGCGTATCTAATCAAGTGGATTCTGAGTTTGTATCTCAGATTAATAGAACCTACGTATGAGTGACTGTCGCTACAATGGGATTCAGAGAAAAGCTTTTAGGGAACAGTACCCTGGTTCTTGTTCTCTTCAAACCAGCTTGAAGCTGTTTTTGTCCTCAACTCAACCTGAGAGACATCCCTGAGAGGGATGAAGAGAGGGGTGGATGATGAAGATGGTGACAAAACAGACTTCTCTGCATATTTTTGGGACTAACTGGGAAAAGAAGTGAAATTTGAATATATTTGTGTAGACGTGAACTGAACTTTACAGTTTTTCAATGGCAACTTGTATGTGTCACTGAACTGAATTAAAATCAGTTGAAGTGGAGTTAAACCATCAAATTGAGTAAATTTAATAGAAGCAAACTGAACTAAACTGAACTGAAACTGTAGTGGGGGTTGCTGACACTGTGGGTGACTGAGGTAGAGAAAGAGTGTAGTCAGAAGAAGGAAGGGAGCTGGTCTCCACAGTTTTCGCCACCAGCACTGGCCCATTTGAGACAGATTGTAAGTGACAAGCTAATGACTGTGGCCACTCGGAGCCTGGCAGGCCTGAACTCAACCCTCAAACGACACAAGTAAAAGCAAGTCTCTTGCTCTCTGAGTGGTCCTTTACGGCACGTCAAGTGGAAACGCACATTCAGCTCAGGTATAATTAATTCACCACTGTATTTTCTTCGGCAGAAAATCACTCCTCTCCATTTACTTGTTCCACACCACCTTACATGTTCAGACCATTATTTCCCTTACCTTCTTCTTTGTTCTTCTCACTAAAGAACAAGTCCATTTGCTTCCCAACCATGAGCAGCCAGGTTTTTCCACCGGTCCCGTGTGCTGCTTGGCTTGACTTGTCGGAGGGGAGCTAACAATGATAGCCTTAAGCCATTTTCCTATTTCTTTCTTCAGTCTCCTGGTTGGTGAACAACCTCATTTGTTCTCGGATTGGGTTTTTATAGTTGGTGAAGCTCTGTGTACAGGTGTTTCTCTGGTCTCTCACGGCTTTCATCTTCCACAGATTAAGTCCGTGAGGCTCAAGGCCTTTGGGGGAGTCTGGGCTGTTGCTGTTGGTCGTGATACAAGGGGCTTTATTTCCTGCCAGCGCTGGACTCCGATCTAACAGAGAGATTTTCTGTTCAGCACTTCTGTAGGACTCATTAGAGAGCCCTTTATTGGCTTGTTCGGGCAGATACTTTTGGACAGCAGAGTGTGCTTGGCTCTGTGTGTGTGTGCGCTCGGTGTCCTCGTGCACGTGGTTACGCGTTGTAAGAGTGTCCCACCTGTCCCCACTCACTGGAGCGTCAGCGGATGTGTATGTGTGCACTAGAAGGGCCATAAACTCACAACTGCTCTCAGATGAGTGATATAACCCTGCAGGAGAGCACGCATCAGCCACATCTCATACTGTGTGAGAGCTCCACCTGCTGGCTCAGCTCCAGTCACTTTTCCTCACCTGACCAAAGAAAAAGGTGTTCATCAAAGCTCGAGCTTATTAGCCTTCTTCAGTCATCTGCTGCTTTCTCCAGATTGATGTATGTGACGGGATCTAAACGAATCTGCCGAGAGTCGCATTCATCGGAGGCTCTATTTACCGATGCGCTCTATGAGGGGAGATGGTATTGATATTTCATTACGAGTCTAATAAAGGGCAGCCAGCATTGAATTTTTATTAATAGGGCTGGTTTGGTGCAGATTAACATGTCTGCGCTGCTCATGATGACTTGGAGAGATGCTAAATGACTCCGGTTGGGTGTTTTAACTGGCCTCAATGGTTCGACTGATCTAGCAAACAACTGCATCCGTCACGACCGAGAAAACGGTGAGAGTGAGAAAGGAGATATGGAGATACACAGAGAGACGGACAGATAGAGAACAGACAGGCGGAGAAAACTGAGCAACCAAGATGAAATCAAAAAGATAGCAAGAGATCAAAAGAGGCGCAGAATGTGAGTTAACAAAGGGAACAGAATAAACCAGAGGATGGGGAAAAAGCCACGACTCAAAGAAATAGAAAAGCAAAGCAATAACTCCCCAATCTATTTCTACAAGACCTCTGTCTTGGTTGGTTCTGGTTCCTCCAGGCAGTCCCTGACATCAGTGCCACTGGCTGTCAAGTCATTAGCAAGTGCGACTCACTGGGTGAATATCTCAAAACTAGCCTAACAACGAACAAACATTAGACCATCGATCCGACGCATTGTGGATGCTCAACAATGCAGCAGACCCTGTGCGCCGAACACTGGCCTGTCCTTGACGTCTGCTCTGGCTCTCTCTTTTCGCTCTGAGACAATGGAGGTTGTGGATGGATTAATGGGAAGAGAAGAGACCACAAAGCACAGAGGCTTATACTGTCAGGGTGGAAACACTCACACACACACAGGGTCTTCTTTCCACTGGTGAGTCTGGGGACAGACTGAACTTTCAGCACCATGGACAGTGCCACGATGTTGGGAAGTGGATGCACTGTCTCTCTGCCTCTTTGTTTTGTGGCTGTGTCTAAACTAAGCCTAATGTTTGATGGTTGTTTCTTGTAATGGCACAGTAATATAACAGTGTGTGCTGCAGTACACTCTGGAAGCGACTCCCCCTCACTGTAACTGGACTAAATAAGGCCCATTCACCTTCTGGTATTATCTGCAGCATTGTGGTGCATCTTAAAATGGCAGCGCTTCAATTAAAATGAGTGATGATCCTGGTCTGTTCCCACAGCGGAAAGCCAAGACTTTTAGGCAATAATGGATGAGCCTTTTACCAACACGGTGCTCCCTCCCTGCTACTTTGTGTGTGTGTGTGTATGTGTGTGTGTGTGTGTGTGATGTCTATCTGTTATTGAGGAAAAGAAGGTTCCTAACAGACTCCAGTTTTTCTGCTGTTCCAGTGATTGAGTAGAATGAAGGGACGATGTGTATGCATGGCTGCTTTTCATTCATGTATTCATTAATTCATATGACATGTCATTGTCACATGGCAAAAATATTTATTTGCCGCAGCATTTGATGTATCAATCCTTGGGTGTGTTTTCTGCTTCTTTTTACAGAAAGTGTCCCAGTACACCATCATTGTCCAGGCCACTGACATGGAGGGCAACTTGAACTTTGGCTTGTCCAACACAGCCACGGCCCTTATCAGCATCACCGACATCAACGACAATCCCCCAGAACTGACAGTCAGAACGGTGAGTCCCAGAATTTTCTTTCCTCATCAAAATCAGCAGTTTCTTCCTGGTTCCCTCATTTGGTGTCGTAACCATTTTTTTAACAGCTCCTTATTCAACATTAGAGAGTGGCTGTATTTTCATCATCTTGTTGTTTGTTATAAATATATTATTTAAAGATATTTGGGGAGGATATTGCAGGGGGTCAAGGGGTTAGAATGAAATATTAGATTCAGCCACCCTCCCCACCCCAATCTTCTTTCGGTTCTGTGCTAGTAGCATTGTAAACAACGAATGATATTTGGGAACATTCTACAGCAAGCCTCTACCTTCTGAATGGTTTTACAGTCCCACATCCTTCAGCCATCAGTGACTGGGAGGACGACATATGAAAATGGACTGAAATCACACATGAGGACATTTGAACTACTTTGTAGTGTCGCCGCTACGAGGAACTACAAAAGTACCGAGGCTAATCAGTGCATGCCGGTCGAAGCCGGCATAGTAAAGCACATGTCGACATATTAGTTCATCTAGAGAAAGGATTAAACCTAATCTGATAGCTATTTAGCTATCGTCAAATTGGTGATTTTTGGGTTAATATATTATCATTTTTTATACCCCATGGTTAAACATGCAGTGCGGACCTGTGTCCACCCTTTCTAAAGCTAAGAGTAATTACACACATATCGTCAACATGTGCTTTTTCTACACTGACAATTTAACAATTGCTCATCTAATCTTTAGGCTACCCCATTGTGCCATAGAGCCATTATGCTGCATAGACATTAGCATATGAGGGTTTATTATTCTTGGGCAGAACAGTGTACACAGGCATCCACGCTCCCAGATATTATTATAAAATATGTTATCAACAACAACCATGCAACAGTAGCTCAACTGCAATGTGTTTTCATAGAGCGTTGAGATGAAGGGAATGCAAATACAGCATTCAAAGGCAAAGATATAGGATAAAGACAGCTATAGTAAGAATATGAAATAACAGTGACAGATAAAGAAAGGCTGTGCAAGAACAACATGGAGGGACAGAAAAAGCTACTGTGAATGAAAGTGAGAAATCAAGATCAGTTTTGGTGATGGGAGTTGCACTCCTCGCTCCTTTCTTCTCCGTGTTTTTCCTGCCAGCGGGGCCTCTGGTGGCCGCGTTTGTCTGCAGGCATCTGGCCCCGGTCCCTGATACCTCCACATTGGTCTGACAGGAAGCCACGCTGGCCCACTTTTGCATGGCAGTGTGTGTGGTGAGGTAGGGAGTTGTCCGTTTTTGAGAGCAAGGGTTACTATATGTGAGGTTATTGACGAGTAAGCAGAAGCCCTCCGCCTCATTTATAGCTTGTATTCTCTATTCTCCTGACCGCAACCTGACAGACCTACAGGATTGTAGCTGCTCCTCATGTGAGCGCTTGGGTTTCTTAGATTCCAGAGAGAAACAGATGCTGTCTGCAGCCGGGCTCAGAGGCAGAGAGCGAGCAGTGTGTCAGCGTCACACACTGTGATCCCTGTCTCCTCGGCGGGGCCGTCGGCGGCGTGCGTGCCAGTACAGTTCCAGCCGCATGCTCTGATAAGAGCTCCCCAGCTGTCAGGGCTAGAGCTCACCGAACAAGGCTGCCGCTCATAGCTGCTTTCGTCGCCGTCTGCGGTGCTGCCTCCGTCACTGCTCGTCACCAGGGGGCTGCCAGCTAGCCAGAAAATGGTCATGCTGCACTTCAATAGACACAAAAAACAAAAATTGTACATTGTCCTTGACATATACAGTACACAGGGATGTATTCTCTGACACGCTGTGAAAGATGTTTCTCCACTCTTCAGGGTGTCATTACTTTCCCCGAAACCCTGCTTAGCAAATTGTAGATGATTATAGGTGATTTTCCACAGCTGTGCTGGCTGCTGGCTCTTCAGTTGTATGAGCCTTGATTGTAGATGTGCCTGAGCTTGTCCGGTGTGTGACTCAAAGGTAATAATTAGAAATTAATAAAAACGTGTTCTCGTTGTATGTCCTTCACTTATGACGCAAACGGCGACATGCTCTGACCTGAACATCCACGGCAAAGACATTTTTATATAAAACCAGAAGCCATTTCCGCTGCTTTGTCAATCTCTACTTTTTGTTTTGCTTCCCACACAAACAACTCGACTCGGAGCAGTTCAGTAATTATTTGTGCATGACAGACGCGAGAAGAATTCATCGCTCTCTAAGGGAGGCATCAAGAAAACATAAGCGCGCTAATTAAGTGAAATTGCTTGCGGGGGCGTAACCCGAGCTGATATACAGCATCTAATTTGAAAAAAGAAACAAAAAAACAATCTAAATCTTTTATTAATTTCACCACATGGGCCTGGATGTGCAATGTTAGTGCTATGTTTGCGTGATAAACAAAAAAAAAGCTTGGTACTTGGGACAATCTATCTAATCAAAGTGTCTAATCAAGTGTATCACACCCCTGCGAAAGTGTACCCAGTGGTTCTTCAGTCAGTGAACACTGATGGGGAGCAGGAGAGTTGTTTGGATGACTTGTGGGGTTGAAAGCTTGAACTCCAAGACACACAGGCTTACAGATCTGAAGAGAGTGCTTTTGGTGATTCACCTGTAGAGCTGCAGCTTCTAAATAGCTGAAAGAATTGGAGTGCCAGAGATTATTCACCACTTTCCCTTGCTTCCCACTCCTTGACTTTGATTTGTGTTAAAAAAAAGAAGAAAAAAGCACAGACTACTAGGTAAAGCGGCTTGATATGTCTGTATAACATGACAAATGTGACTGCTGGTAGACGCCAGTAGCTGTATCTTTATTACACTATAGTGGAGACATAACAGCGTCTTAAGTGGACTGATGGCAGTCTGATATTAGTAGGAGTCTGTTTTGGGACATTTATTGGTACATAATGCTGTCATTACCCTTTGGTGTTGTTCTCAATGCCCCATGAAGGAAAAGAAGAGCTCTTTTAGTCTTTTTGAGCTGTAGCTCTGCTGTCTGAAAGGGGACATTTTCAGTAAAACGGTAGTAGATTTCCCCTGCCGGGCAGTGCACCTTGATGCAGATTTATATTTTTAAAATGGTTTGGTTTCTGTACAGCGCTGTAGCCACACTGATTTCCCCAGGCTGTACCACTGTAATACTCAAACGTCTGAAGGCTAGTCGTGTTAATAGACAGTTTCAAACATGAACAGCAATCATTAGAAATGATCCGGCATAAGTGGCCCTGTTTTTGAAGGGTCCTGTGTAGTGCTGACCTTCATACATTTGTGATCTATTGGCATGTCGAAGGCTCATAAATTAAGACCCTGGCACAATCTGTCAATGCGGATTCTTTGAATGGTGAAGTTATAAAAGGAATTTTCATCTGTAGGCCTAAAATGTCCCTATCTCACCCCCTGCGAGATGTGTTTTTGTCTGCCCAAGTTCTTTAAAGCAAAACTACGCAACTTTCGAAAGTAGAAAACATGAATTATTCCTTTTACAGATGAAAAATTGGATTCATAAGAAATAAAAATGCACCTTTGCTCAATGCAATCCACTCAGGGTTTTTGGAGCCACAGTCTCACGTGGTCTGGTATGACCAGTAACTTGTGTGAGCACTCTGTGTTTTCAGAGGGCTTCAGTGCCGCCAACACTGAACACACTGAGTCTTGAAAGTGACTTTACTGACCAAACGAGTAGCTCATTGGTGAGTGACAGTACAGTTGTGAGCTCAGCCGTGATACTCAATACCTTACTTCCTGGTTATAAGCTTTTCAAAAGAACATGAAAACCACACACAATCCTAATGTGATTGTGATGTTCTTTTTAACTACAAAATCCTTCAGAAACTGGAAGTCTGTGTCTCCGGTGGCTTATCAATGAGTCCACATTGCATTTTAGTGAGAGTGGCCATTTTGGAAGCGTCCTCCCCTCCAGTCAGCACCATTGCGTATGCCTCTGAGAGGGCATACTCCATTTGGCTGTCTGACAGCGCAGCCCAACAAGCTTGGAAGGTTCGTGGTGCTGTTTGTTGCTATAGAGCCCGGGGTGGAAATGAAATGGAGGAGCCCACACACACAAGAGACTGAGAGTGCATATTTAATTTGTTCTGTGCTTATCAGCGTGGTCGTACTGCAGGGGATGGGAGAAGAAGAGACACGCGCGCATGGAGGGAGGGAGGGAGGGAGGAAGGGAAGAAGAGAAAGAGAGGAATGGGGCGGTTTGGACGCTGCTTCAATCCCACGATGATGAAGCCATTAAAGTGAACAGCATCTGGCAGACACACCCCATAAACAAGTTAACGCTTCACAAGAGGAAACGTGGATTATTGCCTGACAATGTGAGCTTTTAGTGTGTGCGTGTGTGTGTGTGTGTGTGTGTGTGTGTGTGTGTGTGTGCCTTGGAGTGCCCATCCCTCTGTAGCTTGGTAAATCCCTATAGAGAAGGACATGCATCCTTTTGCGCAGTGAATTCTTCTTCAGGCTCTGCAGCTGTAACCAGGTTTCCTTTCAGAGTTAGTTCAGAGGGGAGTTGTTTCAGATTGCAATATAATGAAGATCATTAGCCAAAGATTATTCCTACCACTGCCTTAATTATAGTACTCATCCAATTGCTTATTAAGACTTAGATTTGGTGAAAGCACAGAATCTAAATTAAATGGGTAAACAACTAATTGAACAAATCCATTAGTTTAAATAAGTTTCATATGAGCAGACGTGGCGTGAAATAGGGGACAGCATTAAGATAATGGGAGATATGATTTTCTATTATCCACATTTTAAACAAATACGAATCCTTCTGTCTGCTGTCTTCCTCTCCTATCTTTCAAATTTCTGCCCCATTTGTTTTGCTCTACACTCTCAATGTAATGAGCATTATTGGCATGACCCTAAAAGCAGTTTGTTTTCATAATAACAGTTATGGAAAATGCTAAAAGATTGATGATGACACAAGCGAATGTTAAGAACCTCAATAGATCAACTCATTAGCATGCATTAGCCGAGTGCTGGAGCAACATCAGCATAATGTTATCTCTCCCATGCTGCCTGCTGTCACCTCGCTTCCCTGCCACCCTCCCTCCCTCCCTCCTGCTCTGTAGTTTTCAGGGGAGGTGCCAGAGAACAAGGTGAATGTGGTGGTGACCAACCTGACGGTGGTGGACAGGGATCAGCCCCACAGCCCCAACTGGAACGCCGTCTACCGCATCGTCAGCGGAGACCCCACTGGACACTTCACCATCCGCACCAACCCCATCACCAACGAGGGCATGCTGACAGTGGTCAAGGTAAAAATGACACCGCGCATTCGGCTTCTCCACACACATCCCGATGTCTGCTATTTAGCTTTGTTCTCCATTATTATTCCACATGACATCTTGCGTTTCCACCTGCTCTGAAGTGCCAGATGTTGAGTACTTTGGTCTCACATTGTTTTCATTGAATTATATGTCATTTCTCAAATTGGAACACAATTAGAACTAATCTCGCAATCAGCCACACTCATTTCCCTCCCATTTTGTTTTCTGCATCTCTCTCTCTCTCTCTCTCTCTCTCTCTCTCCCACCTCCTCTGTTCTTCTCTAGCCGGTGGATTTTGAGATGAATCGTGCCTTCATGCTGACCGTGGTGGTTTCCAACCAGGCCCACCTGGCCAGTGGCATCCAGTCCTCGCTTCAGTCCACAGCGGGAGTAACCATTTCGGTTCAGGATGTGAACGAGCCGCCTGTCTTCCCTGTCAACCCCAAGATGATCCGCTTTGAGGAGGGTGTGCCCGCAGGGACCACTCTTACCGTGTTCGCTGCTCAGGACCCTGACCACTTCATCCACCAGATTGTCAGGTACTTTAAACCGCAGTGGTGTCATAGACCCCTAGACTATTATTGTTATAATAATAATACCATACAGCTATCTACGCTTATCAATATACACCCAGTGTACACTATTATGACGGGCCCTAGTGTAGTTATGAAGTTATGAAGCACACACCCACACACCATTATATCGGCTCGTCACATGATCAACTAGAGATTTGACGTCGGATAATATCAACACACACTAACAAACATTACCCAGCAATCATCATTAAATATCTGTATATGACAAAAGTACCAAACTTGGTGAACGAACTTGGTTCATTTTTGAACACGTGTAATTCCCGAGTGGCAATCTGAATCACTCTCCAGCCCCCCCCCCCCCCCCACTTCACGGCCCCCAGTGCAGCCGCACTGCTTGCACTGTTTGTCTTCACGCCCCCTGGAATGCCACATTCTGGAAGGTTCACTTAATTGCTGCATGTAACACAACCTGACAAAACATAAGTATACTTTGGGCATCCTGATTAGCATGTTTTGACAGGACCTCCTTAACATGACATACCCAAATTATCTTTAATGCATTTTAATACATTAATTGTTTTTTTGGTCTTTATATAAATAATATATTATAACACAACATTGAAGGTTAACTAATTAGAGTAAGTGTCATAAATAATAAGCAAACCATAAACAAAATTACCTCCTACACACAAATTAACAAGACATTCATTTATTACGGAAATGAGGAGAAAAAGTTTATGGAAAATGCAAGAACAGAGTCATCATAGGAATCCACCTCCTTAAATACTATGTGCGTTTTTGCAGCATTAATACAATAAACTATTTGCTAAATGTCATAAAGTCCCGATAGATCCTTTATATTTATGCATGAAATGATTTTTATTTGATTTATGTGTAATTTTTAAAAGTTTTAGTTTCTGTGGGTGACACTTTGTCATGTCAGCAATCACTGCTCATGCTACCTGCTGCATCCTCAACCTGTTTAGTTCAAACAACCGTCTGTCATTTCTTTAAATGAGCATGGAGGATCTTGGATACATTTGCGGTTCAGGGCTCACATTACTGTGAGGACTAAAGCTCCTCTGAGCTCCTCTTGATAGTCTGTATCGCGAGGCATTTCCAATATTTCGCCCACCCTGTGTACAATATGTATCTTCTTTTCAATCAGTGTGTCACCAGTGTTTTATCAGCTTTGAGCAGTTTCTCCACCGTTTATCCCTCTTCGGTGACATTCTCAACCGACCCTCCGCCCACAGACCGGGCTCCGGTTACCTCCCCGTTGCCAGGCGACTGGTGTAAAGAGGTCATCCTGTAATGAGCTGGACACTGTCTGTCTGCCCTCCTTAGATCCCAATCTCCTCATCCTCCTCATTGAACCCATCCTTCATCCATACTGGGGTGACACACCGCGGGCATGGTGCCATCCAGGCATCGACCCTGTGTCACAGAAACTCCCACATGCCCACTAAGGTCCAGCGGCACCGTTCCACTCCATAGCCAGCTCCAACGTGAGGGATTGATTTTTCTTAATGTCAGTGAGATGGCCTCTTCCACTGAGGAACCCAGTGGAAATGTTACTGAATTGATATCGAGGGAGGGAGTGGGAGATATACTCACATATACACACTGCACAGAGGAGTGAGCAATATCCACATTTCAGGTCTCCGAAAAAGACATGTCATGCAAACTAAGTGGGCTGAGCTCCTCTGCTCTTTGAGAGAAGCAACTCCTCTTTTACTCTCTTTTTTCCGCCTCACCCCTCCCTCTCCCTCCCGCTGACCCTGTCACTTTCTTCTCTGTCAGTCTGTGTGTCTGTTATTGATGGGAGCTCAGAGCTGCTGTCTTCTCCAAAGCAGCTTGCCAGCAGACGCTCAGCTCATGCTCAGACAGCCTCATCTCTGCTGCTGCCGCTGTATTCCCTTTAGGTGACCTCGCTTGAACCCTCACTGAAGTTCACAACAAAACAAAAAAAGACACAGAAATGCAGAGCCGTAGACTCACAACATGCACACGAGCTCCCACAGAGGATGAGTGAAAGGCCTGTGCGTGAGCAGCGGCTGGGAGAGGAGCCAGCTCATGTTTCTGAATTTTCTTGCTTTATTCTCTCTCTGGTGGAAAAGAGAGAGAGATGATGTGAGGGTGAGCCTTTTTGCCAACTGATTTTACTGTTAGATGTGATTTAAGTGGCAGCATGAGCTAATTTATGTGTGTATGCATATGTGTGTGTGTATGTGTTTTTCTTTATATTTTGTAAGTATGAGAATATTAGTCCTGCTAAGTGAGGACATGTTGGTTAGTCCTCACTTCTAAAGGGTATTAGTTTAAAGCCTGGGTTTAGGATTAAAGGGGTACTGTGAGAATTCAGTAACGCACTTCCATGAAGACTCAAGAGAGACAAATTAGAAAAGGAAAGGTCGAAATCAAATCAGCATGGGTCGAGACATCCTGACATTTACACAATGTCTACACAGCCCGCAGAGCAGAAGCAGCAGATTAGCAGAGCAGCAGCACCAGCTTCAGTCCTCAGGCTGTGTCTTCAAGTGATGCGTTCACGCACAGTTTTGAGTGTACTGTACGTCACCTGCATTTTGGCAGCGCTCAGAGCCTTCTCAAACATTTAGTCTCAAGTGCGGGTCCAGCTTCAATAAAGATGGATTCTACAATTCCAACAATGCAACTCAACAGTGTCTTTCAATGGATCATCCAACCTCCAAAATGACCAATTCTTTCAAACCCAGCACCCCAACTGTGTAATGCAAGACCTGTCATCAGTGGAGTGCCCTTTAAGGGTGGAATTAGTGGTGAGTTTAAAGGTTCTCTCTACGAGAGTCAGAGCAAATCTATGATTGAGGGATTGCCTCTACACGGCTCTCAACATGGCGACGCCAATGCAAACAACAGTGCTGACAGAGCTACTGTGTTTACCTGGGCGGGGGGGAACCGGAGGGTGGGCGCTACGCTTTTGTGACATCGGCGTGGGTCAGAACGGCATTATTAGCCGTAACTACCGTCTGAGTGCAGCGCGAAGCGGCGGCCATGAGCTCGCCAGTGGGGCACAACAGAGACACATGCGTTAAAATGCCCGAATATCTTTTCAGAGGAAAGAAAAAAATTTTTTATTCGTAATTCACCTAAAATTAGGAAAAGTCATGAATTATCGCAGCTGATTTGACTGTAATGTAGGGTATGTTTTTGAGCTGCTAATGTGGGCCAGGAGTCTCCAGGGCCCGAAACAGAACATTAAGGGTTAAGGGTTAAGACAATTTGCTCTGCACATGAAGACAGCAGGAGGTGACATCTTGTTGGCACAGGAAGGAGATGAGAGTGCCAGGCATGACACGCAAGCGACAGTCTAACCTGCAGGGTAAGATCCTGACTAATACTGCATGACAATGTCTTTCACTAGAAATTAGATTTATCTTCATGTATTTATTCAATCCTCTAAAGAAGAAAAATGTGATAGCTGGTATCTGTCATTATGTCGCTTTGTCTGCCTGTTTACTAAGTGTGCACCAGCGTAGAAGTGTGTGTGTGAAGCTGGAGGTGGAATTAGTTTTCTCCATGCCTGTGAGGCTCAAACTGACCAGTGTCGGCCTCCAACGCACTTTAAATAAGCCCCCTTTCCCCCTGATCACGTTTTCTACCGGCCATGCTTACATTCAGACACACGCCTCTGATCTCTCTCACTTTTCCCCTGTGTCTGCTGTGATCTTTCACCTCCACCTCCTGTCGTTGTGGTGACACGCCGACAGTCTAACCTTCGAGTGAGACTTCTCGCTTGTACGCAATTAAACATTTCTCATTAGACCTGAGAGAGAGAAGCACTTCCTCCGCTCGGCAAGTTTTTTAGGACTCGTCATAGTTCTTAATGGGATTCATAGACTTTAATTGCAGCTGTCACGTTCCACTCCGTTGACGTATCGACCGGTGACAGTGTTGAGAGTTGCTGTGGCGGCTGTGTGGGTACAAAGAGCGGTGAAGTTGTTAAGACCACTGCTCGGCTGTTCTGCAACTGGGTTCAGGTTTTCATCGGTCTTCGTGCTAATGAGCTGCTGCTATGATAAGCTCGGTGAACATATGTTCCGCTTTCCATGTCACTGTAATATATCAAAGGTGCTCGCCTGGTATTGCTTATTATGGTAATGAACATTCAACCTGGTGATGGGTACTTTGGAATAAAAGATGCAGAGCTGCTGGAATTCAACTAACAGTTGGCTGCAAAAGTCAACATCTGGCATAAGTTTCCATACTATTTGTGTTTGGATTAATGAAGTATCTGGCTTTCTCGCTGTCCCTCTGTCTCTGTGGATTTGTGCGTGCACAGGTACTCCAAGCTGTCAGATCCAGCTAACTGGCTGAAGATCAACAGGACCAATGGTCAGATCACCACCATGGCCCTGCTGGACCGAGAGTCCATGTACGTCAAAAACAACGTGTACGAGGCCACATTCCTGGCGTTCGACAATGGTAAGTCCGGTAAGTCACGATGACTGTGTGTGTTGTGACTCTAAATAAATATTAAAACAGTAGGACACGATTTTGGATCCACCACTTTGGTCTAGACCGAAAAAATCTCTGCATCTATTAGATGGACGGCCAGGAAATTTGGCGCAGACATTCATGGTCCCCAGAAGATGAATCCGTATGACTCTGGTGATCCCCTGACTATTCTCTAGCGCCACCATGAGGTTGGCATTTGTGGTTTTGACTGAACAACCTCAAGAAATATTTGATGGATTGAGTTTTTATCTGACATCATCAGGTCACAATTGTTCTTTTATGACCAAATACCTGTATACGTATAGTGCTACTTTGCTAAACATCAGCATGTTGGCATTGAGCATTTTAGTATGCTGATATTAGCATTTAGCTCAAAGCAGCACTACGTCTATGAACAGCCTGCATAGCCGCTAGCACCAATGGAGACTGATAATCTGTTTTGTTTTCTATGTGTTTTTTTTTGATTGTTGTGAAAACATTACATCAGCTATATTTGAATATTGATAACCATACATCAATCATCATCTGACTGAAAAGGACGCTGCTTAATATCATTTTCATCATCATTAGAATGAAAGTACTGTAGCACAGGCGGGATGAATGTAGCAGATGTCATTATGGGCTACAACGTAGTTAAGTAACACACTTACCTGGCATATTTCTCACTACTCTCGCACTTATCATCCAAACACATTATGAATCATGACGCATTATATTATAAATAGGGTCCATAAATTCAGGCAAGGTGCTGTGCTGTCGCTTGACATAATAGTGTACGGTAACTTTCTTGGGTAAACTGGAACATAACTCTTGTCACTAACACAGGTCTAACTTATTACATAGGTTAGCGCCTCTAAACTCATTAGGACCAAACTGAGCAAGGCTTCCCATTTTACTTAATACTAAAATAATGTCATGGACCAGAGGTCCACAAACACCGAGCAAACAGTTGTGGATTTGTGACATGGAACTCCATAAATGGAGCTTGTATTTGTTAAATATGTCACTTTCCTGCCAGATACTCTACACTACAGTGTGTGTGAACTGTGAATGTGTGGGACGTTCTGTTCATATACTGTACTGTATAAAGTAAACAGTGCACAAATATGCACAGACCTTCATTTCCCTGCTTCTGATGGATGAAAAATGAAAACAGGATCTGCCAATGAAGGTCTTGACAATGTGTGAAGCTTAACTAAAGCACTACAAATAGAGGCGCTTGCTCTCTGTGTAAGTAGGAGGCACCCAGCTGTTTATAGTCCAGTGAGAAATGAGGGATTGGTTGCCCCGAAAGCACACCAACTTAAGCTCAAAGTGTTGACTCCCTATTGATTCTGGAGCCCAGTGTCAACAAGGGGATATATTCCACTTTGATTGAAATTCTCTTTACTTATTCTACTCAAGCGAAGCGAAAGAAGCAACAAAGCACCCAGCCAATCATAACCGACAAGACGGTCGATGGGCCTTGGGGCCTGCCAGGGGCAACGGACCTTTACATAGTTGATGCACCAAGTTACTGTCTGATAGAGGAGAAAAAAGTTGAAATATAAAACTGATGAGCTACTGGGGTAAACTATGGTGCATTGCATCAGAAATTTTGTTGGGCTTGCTGACAGTCTGTGGGCAGTGGGCTGTCAACTGAATATCAAGGCTACAATATATCACTGCAGTGTGTTTGTTCAACGGAGCGGTACACACACTTTCTTCATCTGTAGTTGGTAATGGTACGACCACGCAAACGTCCTGCATTCACTTAAGTCAACGTGAAATAGTAGAATCAGCAAACTGTAGTAAGTTACAAAAGTGAAAGTATTCATTTTGCAGAATGACACATTTTAAAGTGGTTTATATTAACTGTACATTATATTATTGGCAAATTATTACTGGTTACTATTATTTGTGATGAAGACAAACATTTTGTCATCGTATTACAAGAGTTAATGATTCTTGGCTAAATTCACTCACACGCTACAAACATCAGTTACTGAAGCTCTTGATTTACATGCGTTTGTCAGATTATTTCACATGTGATTTTGCATTAATCTGCTATATTGTGACTGGAAAAAAAACGCTCTTATGAATATCATATCGATTCAAACCATGTGAGTGAACCCTACTGATGCTCGGTTATTTCTGCGTTGCCTACTTTAATCTAACAAATCATCATATCATACTAGAGGCAGATCTGTTTTGCAAGTTAAATCTTAATCTTTAAAGTAGCTAAAGTGTTCACATAAATGTTGTGGAGTAAAACAATAGATCCCTCTAAAATGTAGTAGAGTAGAAGAACCTACAGTACCTACTGCACTTCATTTAATTCACCCCTGGAGATTAGAATGATTATATGATGACATCCGCTGATTTTTATTGAGTCATTTTACAGATTTCTCCATAACTCAAGAAAAAACAACCTTAATCGTCTGCTGTTTGTTTTACAGCACACTGGAGTCTGTTGATCATTTTAATTATGCCCATATGTTTGTATCAGTAATTTGAACCACATCCCAGTGGAAGCAAACACTAAAATGAGAGAGATTATCAATTATGAGTCTTTGTTTTGCAGCGTGCCCACACTTCTGCCAGTGCTTGGATAGCTTTAAGCCCCCGAAAACTTCACATCTTAAAGTAATTCCCTATTACATTGAATATTAATGACTAAATAAGAAACTATTAAAGTAAGATTTTGCAAGAAAACATCCTTCTGTGTTATTTATAATATGGTTTTAGCACTCAATAACTCTGCTAATAAGCTTCATTTGGTGTGTGGTTTGATCAGATTAGATTGATCGCAGCCTGGCAACGTAAATAAACAACCCCATAACTCTCACGTTTTGATTTAGATGTTGCTAAATCCTGATTGATGCATGGAAATATGTCATCGCATCGCCCCGACTTGGCCTTGACTGGCCGTCTTGTGTTCATGCAGGACACCACCGCTCAAAGTAACAAGCTGATTGAGAAAATACATTTCCAGGGCCTTTAAATATTCTATTCAACAAAATCAGTTAGAGGCATTGAATCAGACGCACATGTTTAACCTCACACTAGAGTGCAACCTCATTACAATATGAGACAGCCCAGCAAGACAACTTCCAGTTCACTTCACTTTTCTGAAAGCAAGCGGTGCACTAAAAAAGAACAATGAGGCACTTATTCCCAACACCGTGTTGTACACCACCGAGAGCAACAGAAACAGCGCGGCAGGAAAACAACATTTCTCAGTCAGTTATGCGCCGTAATTTAAGCACATAGGAGATTTGCTGCAAATGCATAAAACATCAAAAATGTGTCTCGCATCCTGATGGTTCTGTTCCGGCCTGGCAGCTGTGAGAAACCCTGAATAAGTTATGATGAGCTTGTGTTGCTGGATGCAGCGAAGGGTTAGCGTCATTACCCAGTGGGCCTCGCGGAGTGCAGATAACAGCAATCTCTATGTGAGCGTTGTCCCATCCAGAACGAGTCTCGCTTCGGCCTTTTCAGGAAGCAGCCACATCTAAACGAAACTGAAAAATAAAAGTATGCGTCCTTTCATTTGTTCTGGCTGTTTTGTTTGGGTGCTCTGTACAAATGTACTCAGTATTGTCCCTCCACTTTCAGCCCCTCAGTAAACAAAATCTCTCTTCTTCCCAATTGTTTATTTGCCTGCACGCCTCATTTTCTCACTTCCGCGCTCGAATCAGCTAGAAACATGTCATTGAAATTGAAGGATTGTTTTGCTTACTTCTGTTGCTTTCTCATCACACTGTCTCTCAACTCCCCATTTTTTTTTTTTTGCTCCATCTTCAAAATCATCTCATTTGTACGTACTCCTCTGCCTCACAGCCGTTCACTCCTCTCTCTCTCGATCGCCACGTTATTATCTCGCCATCTTCCTCCTTTGATCTCTTTACCTCCTCTCCTTCCCTCAGGCTCGCCTCAAGCGAGCGGGACAGGAACCCTCCAGATTTACCTGATCGACGTGAATGACAACGCGCCGGTGCTGATACCCAGGGAGTCCCAGGTGTGCGAGCACGCGCGCCCCAACTCCAGGGTCAACATCACAGCCGCAGACGCGGACGCCGACCCCAACGTGGGGCCCTTTGTCTTCGAGCTGCCTTCTTTCCCCGCCAGCGTTCGCCGCAACTGGACTATCTCCCGACTCAACGGTACGTAAATGCTGTACTGCAGCTCCGATTCATGTTGCAAATATTTCTCCCACCCGTGTGATGTATAATTTAGGAGGTATGTGGGAATGATATATCTAGCATCCCCAGCTGAAATAAACCATAAACGTAACAGATGGGATGCAAAAGCCCTCTACAGAATAACTGGCGACATCAATCAGGGGACCAGGGATGGCTGTAAGCTGCGAGAGAAGTCCAAGTTTAACAAAATGTCTCACAAAGCTCACAGTGAGAGACGCGGGTGCCATCCAGTGTTGACATACGATCCATCGTTTGTGACAAATGAGATCCATTCATCTCTCTGTCCCCCAAGCAGCCGATCTGTCACCTAATCCACCCAGATGGATGTATCACAGCAGTTGTCTTGAGGACAAATCTGATCACATACCTGGATTCTTCTCCCACCGAGGCTCTTGTCTTAGCTTGACTGAGTGATAGATGCTGAAGGTCATACGTTCTGTTTTCTTTTTATATCTCGAATGCCTCCTCGCATACATACATGTCAGAATGATTGCTGTGCAGTTTGTTTGGTTGCAGCTTTTATTTGGTATGTCATTCCCTTGTACCTACGCACATGATGACATGATATCCTGCAGTAAACAAAATGTAATTCCTCCGCAGTACACTGTCTAATCTTATTTTACCCTTCTTCTTTTTCTCCTCCTCATCCTCCTCCCACTCACTTCCCTCCATCTGCTAATGCTGTCCCCACTTTCCACTGTTTTCTCTCCATCACCAACACTATCTCGTTCCCCACTCTCCAGGTGACTATGCTCAGCTGAGGCTAAGGATCTCTTACCTGGAGGCGAGTGTGTACGAGATCCCCATCATCGTGTCCGATTCGGGGAACCCTCCTCTGTCCAACCGCTCTGTGATTAGAGTCAAAGTTTGTCCCTGTGACGATAACGGGGACTGCAGCGCCACAGGGGCTGTGGCGGCCGCCGGCCTCGGCACCGGGGCCATCATCGCAATACTCATCTGCATCATCATACTGCTCAGTGAGTGTGGAACAAGCAAACCTTTGCACTATTTGGATCGGTGTATCGGTATGCATCATGCCGTGAAAATGAGAAAATGTAGTTTGTAAGACTGCAACTGCTGCCATTTCTGTGCTTCACAGGCATGGTTCTGCTGTTTGTGGTGTGGATGAAGCGCAGAGAGAAGGAGCGGCAGGCGAAGCCCCTGCTCATCGACCCCGAGGACGACGTCAGAGACAATATCCTCAAATATGATGAGGAGGGAGGAGGAGAGGAGGATCAGGTATCGTTTGACAATCATAAATATATACATAATGAACTAAAGACATGAAAGGCTGTACGCCAGCAGCGGCATGAAAAACTAACATCTTTTGATTATAGATGGTATTTACGGACTATTATGAAAGGTCGGGAATGTATTGATCTATTACATTAGACAACTTTATTTATCCCTTTAAGGGAGACTAGTTTGGTCAACAAGAAACAAAAGAGACACAAGTCAAACTAGCGTACTGTATATTCCAAGAGGACATTAGCATGGTTCAGGAATCTGTCCAAATCCTCACGCCTGAGAAGCTGGAACAGGCGAATGTTTGGCATCTTTGCTTGAAAAACATGTAAAACTTGTCAGTTAATTAATTATCAAAATAGTCGTTGCGAGTGTTGCAGCTCCGCAATTATTAAAAATAGGCTGACACATCTGAAACAGGACCAATGAACCATAATGAATATGAGATGAAACGCTCAACTCCTCATTAAAATGATATTCAAAGAAAGACATAGAAAGTTGTTTAAAAAAAATAAATTGAGGATTGAGAAAGTCTGGATCAGCTGGCTCGCCAATAGCGTTTGTAGAGAATAATGTACTTTTTGTTTGACTTCGAAAAAAGTTTTCAGTGTGCAATCTGCCCTGTGCCCTACAAGCAAGTGCTGAGGCTGAATGTGCTGCTTGGCTTGAATGCCAAGTACAGTTGGAAGTGCAAATCTTTCCATGTGAGGAGTCCCTTTTCTGTGTAGATATAGCTGTATAAGTTATAGCCCTACCTCAAACCACAGATGCTATCGCTTCCAGTATTTTCTATTTATTTTTTATCATTTTAGACTTCCCTGAACGTCCTTGTTTCTAACAGTAAAACACTAGGAATTGTGGGTAATTCCCTCAAGCAAAGACTGCAGCACTGCAGATTTACAAAAAAGGACTGAAAGTCTGTCAGAAAGCCCTGTAGCACAGATGTATCTGCAGGTCAGCCCTGAGCCCTCGCAGACTGAAGAGGAATGATCATCAAAGGCTGCTGTGAGGCTGTGAGGACGGACAGTGGGAGCCGTACCAACTTGGAAACTGGGCTAGATTCAAAACACAATGCATGTCCAGTATGTATATAGAGAAAAGGGTTCATGATTTGGGGTTGAATTGCTAAGTGACCCAACTGAATGTTTAAAACAAACACATTATAACAGAAGAGCAGTCAGTAAATAAACAAAAAATGATTGTAGATTTGGCAACCGTAGGAAAAAAAGTAGATCATTATGTTAATAAGGTTACAATCTTGATTTTCATTCACCATTCCCTCTATGGCCTTCATCCAGGACTATGACCTGAGCCAGCTGCAGCAGCCCGAGTCTTTAGACCACATCATCAGTAAGCCGGCGGGGGTGCGCAGGGTGGACGAGAGACCTGTGATTGCTGAGTCACAGTACCCCGTCAGACCCAGTCTGCCCCACCCTGGAGATATAGGAGACTTCATCAATGATGTAAGTTCAAGAATGGAGGGAAAATGTCTCGGGTGTTGCATAGTTCCCTTAACTGTTTCTGTGTGTAAGCTGGGCAGCATAGCAGTGTCCACAGACCTCATTGATGTGACTCATACAAAGGTTTATTTTCCAGAAATGTGCTCCCATCAGCAGGGATGCTGTGATAAATATTTGTCCCCTGTACAGAGCTAAGTGTCAGGCTCTGAAGCAGCATTCAGACCATGATGGAACAGTAAAACCCTAATGGCTGGGTGAGCAAGAAGAGATGCGGTTTATTGCTACTTTTACTGTCTGGCCACCTGAGCCTGTGAAAAATCATCATCTCGGTTTTATTGTTGATGAGCAAAGACTGGCCTAAATCCAGTGTCGCTAAAAGCCCATCCTGAGAGTATGTAGGTCTAACCACACCAAACAGGAAGTGTCGTTACTGTAGAGAGGAGGTTGTATATCTTTCATTCTTTATCTGTCTTTATGTCTCCAGGGTCTGAGGGCAGCAGACAACGACCCCACAGCTCCTCCCTACGACTCCCTGCTGGTGTTCGACTACGAGGGCAGCGGTTCAACCGCTGGATCCGTCAGCTCACTGAACTCCACTAGCTCAGGGGACCAGGACTACGACTACCTCAACGACTGGGGCCCTCGCTTCAAGAAGCTGGCCGATCTCTACGGGGGAGGTGACGATGACTGAGAGCGGGGTGCTGGGTGGGGCTGCGGCAGGAGTCTTTGAGAGGCGGGGTCGGTTGGATGGATGCTCCCAGAAACCGCGCAGGGGCCAGGAACACGACGCAGTCTCCGTGGTAGACGTTGTGAGGAACAGACCTCGCTGCTCACAGCGACCGATGCCCGCAAACATGAATTCCCGCCGCAGCGCAACTGTATTCTGGCTTTATATTTCGTAGTGGCGAGTTTCTAGTGTGACGTTTTTGTTTTTTTCTCTTGGTTGTTCTCTCACCGTGCTGGACCCCGGAGCGTTCTGGGGATGAATCAAGGCAGTCGTGAGAGACACGAGTAGTGAATTTGTGCTGATTTCATTTTTAAAACAAAAAAACATCCCTTGCTTTAGTCTCACACTGAAGAGAATGTTTTTGGGGCGACGCTCTCTGACTCTCTCTCTCTCACTCTGTCAACTTGAATTTCCTTAGAACAGAAGCACTGTCATTTTATAAAGTGCCTTTTGTGGTGTGTTTTTGTATCAGACTCCTGCTATCTCAGGATCGGTTGCCATTTGTGCAGTGCAGTGGAGGCACGTTCTCGCCCAACCCCCCCCTCACGCTCCTCAAACCAGCCCTTCCTGTCACTCTCCCCTCCCCTTCACAGTGGTGCAGATGAACAACCCCAGCAGCCAGTCCCAGGAGGGAAGGACACAACCAGGGCAGACTATCGGATATCATAACCCAATGAATTATGGCCTAATAGACGAGCCAGTAACAGTTGCTGTGGGGAAGACAACACTCTTCCCCCGAGGACCTGCTCAGTTTGACTTTCACAAGCATCACCTGTCGACACGCTGACATTGTGTGAGACCATTTTTATACATGTGGGGGTTTTCTAATTTAGTGGGGAATGCCTGCCTTTCCTCTGTGGACTCACGAGTTTAGGAGCCTTTATGTTGAGATGCTTGCCTGCCTTGTATGGTTTTGTGTTGCTCTCTCCACAGTGTAAAGCTTATGTAGGCATGATCTGAGTAGTCAGACGATGTAAGAAAGTGGAACTTGAAATGACTTGGAACAATCTGAAAAAGATTTTTTTTTTTTTTTTTTTTTTTTTTTTTTTTTTTTTTTTGTCGCCTTGAACATTCCTGTTTTTTATAGGCCAACAAAAATATTAAAAGGTGCATGATTTTTTATTTTTTTTTCAAGATGTTTTACTCAAAGCACTTGTTACTATGTGGTGAGAATGTGAAAATAGTCAGCGGAAACTATATGAGTATACTCTGTATAAAGACACTGAGAAAATAAAAATACTGTAAGATACCTATTTTTGAAGTATTGATGACATAAAAGTTGCTGCTCTTTCTCTAGCTCTTCATTGGGCTTAGGGGATTTTTGGCCCGTTCATTTTTAATATGTGGTTATTTTTGTTTCTTTGTCTTCTGTTGAAGCATTATTCCATTTTTTTTTTTAAAGATGCCTGCTTAAAACATCTTTTGTTTCAGTTTTGCTCTGCTTTTGTTCTCATGAGATTGTTTTCTAAAAAATGCTTTGTTATACTCCTTTTATATGTGAAAACACAGCCTTCCCCTTTCACTCTCTATTGTCTCTGACAGATGTGTTCCTTCTGTTGGCCTCTGACCTCGGGACAGAGGAAGGTTCATTAGCCATGCCTGCTGATAGTTGTTCTATTATTCAGTGTCCTGGAATTCTTTTATTCAATCATCTAGATACTGGATGTGTGCTTCAGAAAATAAACAAGACGTGTTTTGAAAATGTGCCATCTTTTTTTTTTTTTTTTATTCCCTGCATTAATCACCCTCAGGTGTATGCTGAACTGTGTGACATGGCAACTATAATTGGACTCTGAGCTTTAGATTATAATGGGCTCATCTTGTTTTGAGGATCATTAATAATTGCAGCTCCGTGTCGAGTAGCCTTGACTAAAAAACCCTATGTGTTGGAATTTCTGATATGTCGTCATCGTCATTCCCCCCCCAGTGGTAATATTTAAAAAATAAACTGCATTGACAGCATTGTATGCCTCTAACCCTCCATACACATAGAAATTAGCTTTAAATTACTGCATTTTCACCTTTGTTCATGAACTGATTGGTTTGTCTTTGCACACTGAATGACCATCTTTATTTTTTTTTACAGTTAAATAATGTATTTTTAAGTGCAGGAGTTTTTCATTTTTAAGTGATAAGCAAAACAGACTCCCTTTGGAATTACGCAGATAATCTTTGACCCTATTGTTTGGAGAAGGCTTCATTTTCTAATAAAACACCCGCTATCCGTCCTTTTATTGCATTCCAGAAGAGGGAGTAGGAGAGGTCAGGAAGTGTATTTGTGTCCGTTCCTGTGATTTCAATTAGTCAGTTGAAGCACCCAAAAACCCACTTGGGACTTAAAGGGATTTAATCCTCTCCGGCTGTGTGTCTATCAATTAGCCACACCATTAATCCCCACGGCGTAATCTCATTAGATAGAGCGCCTTTAATGAGACACCCAGAGAGAAAGCAGAGAGGCAGGCAGTAAGAGAGAGGGAGAAAAATGAGGCGGTGGCGAGATGCAGGTAGGCCGTGTGTAGAGGTGATTAGTAGGATGGAAGAGAGGGTCAGCAGAGTGAGAGGGGGGGCTATAAGCATGTCGGGGACAATGCATAACATTTAGGAATGGTTTGGGAAAAAATGGTTGAATATGAGGAAGAGAAATAGAACGATACTTAATCTAGTGTTGTCCACTATGGCTCGAGATTGGAGGAGTGGGCAATGGAGAGGGAAAGATTCCTCATCTACTGGAGTGTCCCAGTAATGAGAACATCCGGTAATAAACCTAAATTAACCTTTGCTGTAGTGAATAGGGAAGTCTGCTATGGACCAGGCAAAAATACTGGACCTATGTCTCTGTAATAAGAGAGCCATCAGAGGTGGGCTCCACCGCTCTGAACTAATAATCAAGTTGGTAAAAGGTCATCTTGGTCATAGCCAGTCAGCAAGATAAGCAGATTCATTTCAGAGAAAGTTTCTTTGATGGGCTTAGCCGAAGTTCACTTGGTTTCCGTGTGGCAGATAGGCAGCAGGAAAGAAGAAAGCACACTCGAGTTGCCCCCTTGATAAATGGCGTATATAGACAGAGCTTTGCTGCTGGCTGGCAGCCAGTGCCTTGTGTGTTGTAAATAAAGTTCTCCTCTTCAAACATGTCCAAGCCTGGCTTTTTTCATTTCCTCGCTATATAGCTAGTGAGTCTCTTGGGCTGGAGCTGGGGAAAAGTCCAATTTGAAAAACAGCACCGGATGTTGGTTCCGATGCCGGCTGTGTGATCAACTGTTCCTACTTTAGTGTTGATGTTGCTATTCAGCAAAGGTACCGCCTGGCTGGTACGGGCTGGCTCTGCTGCCTGCTTTTCTGCTGACACCACTCTGAGCCTCCTGCTATTTCAGGACTTTAGAACGAGATCAAAGCAGCAGAATAAATTTGATGTTCCTGCTGGAAGTGTGGGGATGGTGGGGGTGGGGGGTGGATATCTACTGTTTAACGACCAGCCATTTATGGATGCCTGGTCCACGGGAGACACTCTGCTATTACCAAGACAGGACGTTCATATCAGTCGGGGCTGAAGCGGTCTGTGCATTATCAAACAGCATTTGAAAAGAGCCTTTCCTGCTAATCGTGATTGCTTTTTGAAGCGGAGTATCGTATCAATAAAGGGCCTTTTTACTCCCCTACATTTATTCAACAGCTTTAGTTACTGTTGGTGAAGTAAATGCAGCCAGTGAAGTAACTATTGCAGTAGAACACTAGTTTAGTATAAAGAGCAGGAACGAGTCCTAAAACCCGGTTCCCTCATCTCAAAGTCAATGTTTTGTTTTTTACGTGTTAATGTGTTAGCTGCCTGAAATAAGGTCTGTAGTTAACACAAGCTTAAGGGATTTTAATGTTTTCCCCTACGTTACAAAGTACGTCAGTAAATACACCTCTTGTGGATTTTGAAGCTGTTAAGTGTCTTAAAAAAGGTTACTAACAAGTGGCTAAATGAGACAGAGTGTTCTGGCCCACTAGTACGCTGTCACGGCCTCGTTGTGTATATTGTGGTGTAATGTGTTGTACCCCAATGATATGACATGTAACATCTCCTCTTTTAACCCTCCTTGGATTGGCCTTCAAAAATACATCATCCCTGCAACGCTCTATTGTAGCACTGCCTATAAAAAAAAACTGGATTAACAACTGAGCAAAGCAGGCAACGGCCCTGGGGCCCCGCTCCCTCCAGGGCCCCCAAAAAGCAGGCTCACTAAGTCAGTTAGTTGCACATAAATTAATAACACTTTGACTTGTCAGTACTAAAAACCACAGGAATTACTTAATTAATGAGGTGTTCCAATAAGCTATAAAAGTGAGTGTGTTTACATGGATATGAGTATAATGCCGGTTATGATCAAAACTGGGATGATATCGGACTCATGTCCATGTTTACACACTCAGGGTGGCATGAACTTGTGTCTATTAGAAGGGTCATATGTCAAAATATATTCCTAAGAGCTATAGTATAAATTATGTTACAAATAAGGGATTAAGACAAGTTAGTTTCTAATATTATTTGGATGAATTAATTATGTAAGGCAATTAAACTAGTTAATGAGGGCTTAAGACCTACCATATACACAGTAGGATGCACATAGTTGAATAATGAAAATGAATGGTTCTCAACAATATTGCAGAAAACAGTGGGTAAACTAAATATAAATAAACACTGATTGTGCCTTTAGTTTCAGGTATATTTGTTTGATTGGTCACTGTAGGTTTGAGTCACTACCACCTGTAGTAATTGGTCGCATGTCCGGAAGAGGGCGGGATTCAAAACAGAAACAGCGGGCAGGCAACCGGAGCTACTTGCTACTTGCAGACCCCACGGTGACCGGGATAGCTGTGTGGGTCCCCTGATGAAGACCACTGCTGGCCCATTCAGATGCGACGAGGATTTCATCTCCGCCACCGCGGCATCTAGCGGTGAGGGTTTCACAACGAACTGCTCCTCCAGGACTGACAACAAACTGTGAGTTGAACTTTTCAGATTTAAGCCTGCAACTTTTTAATTTGTATGTTTGCGTTTTACATTAGTTACCTATTTAGTTTATTTATTTTTGCACAATTCAAACAATAAAATAAAAATAAACAAACAGAACAGAGATAAATAAATATCAGTGCAGGAAGAGGCAAAAAGCCAACTGGGCTCATTTGAAGCCTCCACCTATATAATATTAAAATGTGACAATATTACAGAGAACATCAAATGAATATGCATAAGATATGACTCTGTAAAATATTATTGACAAGATGTTTTTACAAGATATGAAATATGATAACAATATCAATACATTACAAGCAAAGGCAAATGTAATTGTGTCGATTGTGTGCCTGCATGTGTGTGTGTGTGAGAGTAAGCATGGGCTTGTGTTATACACCTGCATTAACTCCTAAGCAATAGTAATTCTCCAAGTCCCTATGAGTGAAACAACAATGAATATAACAGCTAAAACAAGAAAGACATGAACAATAATACATTAAAAAAAGCAATTACAAAACAGCAATTAGATTTTCTTTAAGGCACCGTTTTAAACATTTTATAGAGGGACATTTTATTGTTAAAACTATATATTTAAACTGAGCTGAATTCAAACTTAGTTTGTTATGGGAAAGCGTTAGTAGTTAAAGGGGTGAGAAATAGGGTAGAGGGGCGGGGGGGGAGAAGGGGGCTGCAATGCTATACATTTTACATGAGTACATATGTTAGTTACACTTACACGATGTATGTTAACACAACTGCCCAAACACATATGGATATGGAACTATTCAGGAACATCTATCATGAGATCACCATGAATGATGCATTATGGGATTGTCCCTGTAATATTTGTTGATGTCCTCAACACAAGTACATGGAACCTGTGTGGTGGTGCTGCAAATGCCGAAGAGCCCTTTGGAGGCCGACTTCTCTTGGTGATTACATGCTAGAGTGCAGTTGGAAATTCAATCTGCATCCTCGAGCAGAGCAGCTGCTCTAATCAACTGGGTGAAATTCTTCACCTTAGCCACAGGTTAAGTGCCTTTCCTGGGACACTGGCTACATGTCTAAATGGTTTGAGATGATTCCTTCACAGCCAAGTTAGTCTCTGGTGTCCTTTAGGGTACAATCAAGCTTCCATTCCCATCTGCCCAACCATTTCCCTCCGTCAGCATCACTCCAGGAAGACAGACCAAAAGCTTCCCATGAATAATGGGTGTGCAGCGCACTCATCAGTATAAATAAATAATTGACCACCACACGTGAAACAGAATTAATCTTGTAAATGTATGATGATGATATTACAATAACATGAAGGGACAGAACGACAACCTACGTGTCTGGCCTTGTTTCCTTTTGTAAGCTGATTAGTTGTAGCTTGATGCCTCTGTTCCTATCTTTGTGTGCTATGTGTGAAAATTCCTCTCACCATCTTAAGAGCATTATTTCAATATGTTTTATTGTGATTATGAATGAGGCACACGATCATTTTTGTCTTTCTGAATCTTTGAAAGTGCATCAAGGTGAGGTGACTTTTTCTGGCCTAAAGTTCTCTCATGGTCATTAATATTCCGTTTTGTTTTTTCTGATCCAAAATTTGCAGACATTTCATTTATAGTAGTTCATTATTGGGCTGACTTTGCGTATTTGCGTGACTATGTGGATGACAATGTTGGTCTGTCGAATTATGGCTGTTGTAGTGTATTTGTTAGCCATGTACAGATTGTACAAATTGAAAGCTGCACAACATCGCATAGCCGTGACGCATAGCTGTGATGTTGAATTATACCATTTACCATCGCTGAGATGGAGCCCAGTGTCCCAGAACCTTGTGAACATTCAGCCAAAAACTAAAAACATCACTGCAACTACCGGGAGGAGTGGTGAGGGAAATACCCATGGATCATTGCTGCCTTTACGAGATCCAAACAAAGCATTTTGCACGCCCACCCCCCAACTCCCCTGTACCCAATTTCGCTCCATTCTCATCCGGTCACCCTATAGTTGCCATGCAAGCATTTAGCTCAAAGCACCGTTGTGCCTAATTACAGCCTCACAAAGCCACTAGCATAGCTGTAGACTCTGTAGTTTAGTTTTGTCATAAACCTTAGCTTGTTTGTTACATTTCCTTGTGTGAACCACAGGTGTGTGTGTATGCTCAACACATTTTGGTGCCTGTCCCGCCTCATATAGGAGATGACTTTATAAACGGAGATGTTCCTCTCCTGTGGGCCGATGGCGCCTGCTGCTTGACCTGATTCAACTCCATTAAAGAGGCCAACAGGCTATTAACCCCCGCGTCAATACCGCACAGCTTTAGCCACACTTACAAACCCATTTCAGCAGCAGTCATAAACATTGGCCTTATTATAGTATCTCCGGGCCAAAGCAGACTGGCCCCGTCGACCCCATAACAAAAGAGTCCGAAAGTCAGCATTAACCCGGCTGGAACAAGGGCACACAGGAAATGGACTTGCGAGGAGGTGTAAACTAATGAGTTGTTGTTGAATGTTATATTGCAAGGTTTGATTATTCAGGAAAGGCTGAAAATCATTCACTTTCATACCAGGGTGAGAGCGGTTATAGGCTACTGGATTTGTGCATCTTAATGGACGATAAAGTGCCACATCAGTTCATCCAAATCCCATTCTCACGTTCCTCCTTGGGGGGAGTTTTATTCATAAGCTCCAAGCTTAATCAACAATATGCAAGGAGGCGTTAAAAGGGATAAAATTAATTAACTGACTCTTAGTATTGCATTTGTCTCACAGTGTGAATATGGTGGGATTACAAATGGAATTTTGAATTCATTGGTTTGCAAAGTAGTGTCAATGAAAGAACACCACAACCCCCTTATTTATCTTGCTATAGGGGTCTTACCTTTAATCAAGATTTTCATAACCATCTGATTCATATGAGTGATGGGGCGGGGGGGGCGGGCTTTCATCAGCCTCTAACCATCATTAAAACTGAGCCCCTCTGTGAGCGTAAACAAGCAAAAATAATTTCAGACTGGAGATTTATCACAACAGTGCAAAAGGAGCACCCTGCTGAGACGCACTATTGCTGCAGTCAAATGGCATCTTGGATTCAGACAAAAGCAACAGAGCAACAGTCACAGGCATGCGCGTGCCTGCTCACACACACACCCACTCACACACATTAATGAACTTACTTTTATGTGTGGTTTATTATATAATCTCACCCGGGGGTCATAAATGACAACAATGAATGTAACAAATGAATAACAGCCCCCCTTTTAATAAATGTCATGGAAGGAAACGGCGATGTTACTCCTCTCCTCTTCCCTCCGGCAGGCTCGGGGTGTTTACCCAACACCCTCAGGTGCAGTGACTGAGACGTCGCTAGGCAACCGCACCATCCCCGTTGTTGCTCTGCCTCTGGCACTCAAGTGGGAGCTTATGTGGACTTAACTCTGAAAGAGCAGCAGTGTTGAGGAGTGGAAGGAGGATTACCAGGAAAAATATTGGATTGGGCTGAGGCACAAGGGTCGAGGCCTAACCTGAGTCACCAGCACCAAGACGGACGCCACGAGGGATTGCGAGGCCACGCCGGCGCTGTACTCATGACGGAAAGCTTGTTTTTTTTTTATCCAGCTCTGCTCTCTCACAGCATCACAGTGCTGTGATATAATTGGCAATCCAGGGTGTTTCTCTCCCTTTCTTTTTGCCTCACAGATTGGCTTAGTGGTCTGTTGTGTCCAGCAGAGCAAAGCGTGAACATGTGAACACTAACATCAACCAAAATGTACCGAGACAATATTAACTATAAAGAAGAACCTGCCGTTTCAGTCCATGTCAGCTACAGGAGAATCCTGTAATGGGGTAAAATTGCCACCTAGTGGCTCCCAGATGTACTTTCATTATAGAAAATGAAAGTGTGGCTCATCACCACTGATGGCTCCAAATGTACACTTATTGTTCCTCTTTGGTCAACGCCGATACGAAAGCTGCTCCCAATCATTGCAGCATCAGGCAACTGTCCCAGTGGCAGAGTGGCCTAATCATTTGCAGCCCATGCTTGTGGAGAATGTTCGCAGCTGATGTTGCAGCTGTTGCCAGTGCGCCGTGTGTTGGGCCCATAATGGAGACGGACTCAAACGAGACTTCCCAACATAAACCTGCACAGACTGGTCGCAGACTGTGTGTGAGCGTGATTTTTCTTTCGTTCTAGGTTGAGAGCTGTGTGTTCTGCTCATGGGAGTTGTGCTCAATAGATGCCCGCGTAGACCTGGGGGACACGCATTGTGTACTACATGTGGCTTTGCAGATGTTAGAGGATTAAGTGGAATTATCTGTGAACAGGTAGAGTAAGAAGGAATTAAAGGCATTCAGCTCACTCATGTACAAAGCCTCAGTGCCACACGGAGCTCCCATCCAGATGTTCTAATAATGCAATGCTGCCCCCTAGTGTGATACAATGCAATACAAAAACTCTCTCTTTAAACACCAAACCACACCAGTTACTGTAAAATCATTATTTATTAAAACTATTTAATAGATAAAATGTGGTTTTCTTTATGCTGGGTGGGTCAATTCTCAATTCTATACAAAGCCATGTGTAAACTTTAGGTGTAACATTTACAAATACATATGAAGATACACCTGAGTGCTTCTTGAGTCGGAGGACAGTGTCAGTCACTATTGAAAAAGTAAAAATGTGTGTTGGTGGGCAGCTACAAAAATAGAAATCACTTTCAGGTAGATGTATGTTTGGTATAGCAACACGGGTTAAAAGCTTTCTGAAACCTACTAAGTTACAGAAATCAATAATGTCAAACTAATTTCATAAAGAACAACTTAAAAGATTAAAAAAGAACAAACCCCTCTTCACTCACTGAAATCTAAAACACCCAACAACATATCAAAACTAATCTGAAACAGATCCTATGCAGGTAAATGCATTTAGTTTTAAATTGAAGCTACATGAAACAACTGACACGCCACGTGAAATTAAATAAATAACTAAACGTTCATTTAAGCTCGAGTTTAGTAAATAAATATGCTGAACACACAAAGCATAGTGATGGAGATGACGGATACAGAGCTACTGCTTCATGAGTTACAGCACGGTTACATGCCTCGGGGTGGCTTTATGGCTTATTGATAGTTAGGAAGGCAACTCAGTAGGTTACACAGTTTGGAGCCAAGCTAATAATAAATCATCAAAATAAAATCATTATTCAATAAAATGAGTCGGTGGTGGATTAAAACTTGATTTGAAAACAAAATGATTTTCATTGCTTTTAAGTCTAATGCGCATACAAATAATCTGAAAATATACTGTACTGTGTGACAGTGCATAATGTACAATAATTCATGTGTTCATACATAGACACTTCCTCATAACACACAATCCATTACTGCACTTTTTCAATAGTTGTACAGGGTAAATAGCATTAGTCCATGAGTGCTCTGAAGCTAAATAGGCATTATTTAAAGTGGGGGGGGGGGGGGTAGAGAGGCCATCCAATATAGTTATCACTGTACTTCAGGTTATCAGGTATATCCGAAAAGCTTCCAAATGTGCCGAGACGCCGCTCTCCTCCTCCTCTTCGTTTAGAAGATATGCCGTCTCTGTGGTGGGAGCGGTTGGTCTCTCCACACACATTCCCCCTCCTCCCCCCTCTGACATCGAGCCTATTTGAGAAAGCCCTTGTAGAGGAACTGGGAGTGACTGGTGGATCTCTCGTTCTCCAAACAGAAGAGCAGGTCCCTGAGATTGACGCGCGTGATGCGCTGCCGCGTGGGTCTGGAGCCAGACGGACCAGCCCCGCCAGACGGAGAGGGACCCGGTCCTGATCCCTGACAAGATGGGCGGGAGAAAGAGAGGTTTAGAGTGTGTGTGTGTGTGTGTGTGTGCACTGTTAGAAAGCTACATCTGGCTGGAGCCTTCCCCGTGCACAGTTTGCATGTTCTCCTGCATGGGTTGCTCCGGATTCAATTCAACACTCCAAAAGCACGCGGTCAATGAACTCCATCCAGGAGAGCTAGTACCCCAGAGCGCAGCCCTACTTCTGCAGTTACCAGGGGAGCTGGTGGAGAGCTTGTGGAATAGCTCAACTAAATAGAAATGTACCATTTGATCAAGATAAATGTATCCACACTGCATTAACACCAGCGAGCCAGCAGAGAGGTTTGGCTAAAGCTGTAGGAATATGATGAAATAGTAGCTGTGGTTGAACTGTTGGTATGCATGTGTGAGCACTTGAATAGACCCTGCCTCTTGTCAGAATCATGATGGGATAGACGTCCGCTCCACACAACCTTGAACTACTTTGAAAGCAGTAAAGAAATGTAATGGATAGATGCATGTTGGCCAATGAACTTGTTATTCTTTAATACATCAGAACTATTTTTTCCCCCTACAAGAGTGCTTTAGAGGTAAACAGCCACAACATAGGACATTTATGAATGGTTAAAGAAAAGGCTTTTGTGACACAGTAGGCCGAGTCTACTACGGGAATTTTGGATGAAGTACAGCGGGAACCGCTTATAGCGATCACGTCTGTCCGGGTCAACTTGATCGCTAAGTGGATGATTATTATAATTATTGTCTTTATGTGTCATGTAGATTGTCATCTAATTGACATTTGTATATTTATTACATGAATATAAAGTAGTGATGAGTATTTGTGTGCATTAGTTTTAGCAGCCCTACGACTGCTCGTAGACGACACAAGGAAACCTTTGGAACACTACGTTTCTGTTTTTACTGTCATGATTTCAATATGCACGCAGCACCAGCCTTAGGTAGCCAGCCTGAAGCAGACCGGGTACTGTTTTTAAAAAGGTATGATGTATGAAAAGACCAACAATGAACACTGTAAGTGGACTATTTGATAACTATAACAAATTATTTTAACAGCATTTGTAAAGGAATGATTCTGTCCCAAGATTTGTGAGCCATTTAAGCATTTGATCACTGCAACCGTGATCATTATAAGTAGTTTCTTGCATACTTTTAATTGCCATGAACCCTATAAATGCCCTTTTTTACCAGCAATGCCATGCAGATTATTTAGGAAGCCCTGCAGTCATAACCTCTGTTGCTTATAGAAAAACACAATACTCTTTGGTTTAAATGTTACGTCCATGGGCGTTTGTTTGATTTGACAACGTCTTTCCCACTTACCATTTACTGCTACAGCAATTTGCATCGTACCCAACAGAATACAATGCAACTCGGAGACATCTGTATTTCTTGTATTTTTCAATAAACATTATAATGAAGTCTACAGAAGAAGACCAGCACACAGTGTTGTTGGGGGGGGGGGCAGGGAAGGTGTACAAATAAACACCACCTTTTAAATTACTGCAGCCTTTGTCAAAGTAAGTAAACAGAAGAAGGGATTTACTGAGGGAATTATACAGGAACAGTTATTGCAGCGAATGGTTTGACGCTCATTTCTGAGAACAGCCTCTGCTATCGTGGATGCTCCCGAGTGAATCCAAACAGTGGAAGATTGAATGTGGAGAGAAAGAAAACACTAAACAGAGACGAACCCCCAACACATGGAGTGTATATATAGTATATACACATATATAGCAATCAAAAATGTAGAACAGAGAGATTTGTGGTCAATGGAAAAATCAATTAATTAAACCAATAACGGTAATGCGTATCAAAGAACAACTAGAAGATGAAGCACCGAGACTAAAGGTTTGTCACTTTATGAAGACCGTCTCATTGTATTTAATGAATGTGACCGGTGACTTGTAGTCAGCTGACGTTGTGCATGAGTAGTGTGTACTGACAGAACTAACGAGCAGTATGTGAAGAGCACAGGTGAGTCATGTGACTCTCCATTCAGTCTCTGTCCAGCTTATGCTAATTAAGGAACGTAAAGAGATGTTCCCTGCAGGGTGAAGACGGCTGAGGTTGTGATGGAAAGTGGTGCCAAAGATAAACAAGCTACGCCACCGCTTCTTTATCCCGCTGGCCCAGAACCAATAACACTATTTGGGGAATGTACTGTATAATTAGCATTACCTCGGCTGCAGCAGAGGAGGATGGAGAGCCCAGAATCTTCCTCTTCTTCCTGGGACCGATGGCTGCCAAAGCTGTTAGGTTGGCCTCCCTCTGTCTCATCTGAGCCAGCTCCTGCTGCTGCATCTGGATAACGCACACGGAGCAACATGAAAAATCCCAGCATGCATTGCTTAAACACTAGTTGACTGTCCGGCCCCTCTCATCCTACCTCTTTTGCCTTCTGTTTCAGACGCAGCTGCTCTGGGTCCTCCTGCCGAGCTCGAGACTGCAAGGCCGAGAACAAGACGCGTTAACAACCGATGTTGGCAGAAGCAGATTCTCCATAAATTACTTGTGAGTTCACGTCCTCTAAATAGTCTCATAAACATCAATATTTACATTTTTTTTACTGCACAATTCTTCAACAAAAAACGTGTTTTATATATATATGTAAATTGCTATTTGATATATCACACAGTACATTTGTTAGAAATTGTTCAGAGTTACGTCCTAACATCCTGAGGGTGAGTCAGAATCAATCGCAAGCGACCTTTAGTCAAACATTACAGAGTATGAATGTGTTTCTGGAGAAGAGAATAGCTGCGGGATACCAAAACACTAAATGTAGGCCAAACAAATCAGCATTTACGACACCTGCTGTTATAAATAAATGGGTTGATCTCATCCAGACATTAAAAATGCAACACAGTACACCCTTGAAATAAAAATTAAAAAAAATGGATGAAAGTCTATTCAATCCCAGAAGATCTTCAATGCCGTGCCTGCTGCATAAGTCACGGCAACAAAGTGCGTGTTTTGATGAGTGCATAAGATGTTTCATTCTAACACAGAATATTTGATCAAAGTATTTATCAAAGAGAGGAATTGATTGTAACTCTTCACTACAGCTACCCCCATTACCTTTTACTACAATTTTGTGTAAAGTGAATTTCCCCAATAGCCTTTGGACATATTTGTATGATGATTATTATTAGTATCTGTGAGTGAAGCTGCACCTTCGCTGCCTTTAGGAGGATCTCTCTCTCCTGTTCCTCCTTCTGTTGTTTCTCCAGCTGGTCCAGCTGCTCAAAGAACTTGAGCTGAGCACGAACATCGCTGCTCTGCTCATGCGTGTCATCCTCCTGCCGACAGACAGCAGAGTGTCACAATGTTATCCCAGAAAAAGCTTACAAAAGAGATTACTGCACATATGTGAACTCAAAACCTTGTATCTGTCACTTGCATCGAAAATACAGCGGACCCTTTAGTGTCTTAGCATCAACATTGATTGGATGCGAGCATCTGGTTAAGACTCAATCTAAACTGTGGGGAGGAGACATGTATACTCGTACGAGTCTCTCTAATGATGCCGTAAACAAACCTTGAAGTTGACGTTTTTCTGCTGAGCCACCAGAGTAACTTTTCCCATCAGGTTCTGGAGCCGCTGCTGAGTAGCGTGGGAGACAAAGTTCACCACCTCCGCACCCAGGTCTGTCACACCATACCTCCGACCTGGAAAAGAAACGGAGACATCTTGGGGCTTTAGGATAAATAGATAGATAGATGCTGTATTGTCAAAAATGTTGTACGTGTCTCACCGATGTCCTGCATTCTCCTCTGTAGAAAGGCAAAGGAGAGGAAGGCCTCGTCCTTACAGGAATGCGTCACCGCTCCCACGAGTCCAGAATTGGTTGCGAGGATATTAGCACTTTCCTCAGATAGGTTCACTCCAGCCATGGAGGCCACATCGTTGATGTCGTCCTCGTCTCTGTAAACATAAACGAAGGTGTGGCAAAACAAATGGCTGATTTTTTTTTTCGAAGAGTTTCCAAAAGTACATTTTCCACCTTCAAGTGATGCTTTCACTATAACTGATTAAGGGACATTTATGGTGAAAACTGATCTGAATTCTGTAATCTTTGTTCTTACTTGAATGTGCCACCCGCCTCTCTCAGCTTGTTCCTTTGAGCCAGGCTCATGGACGCAGCAGAGACTTGTTTAAAAAAAGGTGACACAGGAACTGGCAGAGACACAAAAATCTCAATGAATACTACAGGTCACCCAAAGAAAGACGGACGGGGATGTGATCAAATTGACTTCCTCACCCGGCTGTTGCTGTCCCAGCATGATGCGGCCAGGGGCCTGATTCCTGAGAGTCACCATGGGGGTTGTGGGTAAGACTACCTGAGGTTTCAACATTGCTCTCTGCTGTTGGGGCTGGATAACCTGCATGGATAAAGTTCCAAATGCAGATTGTGTAATTATTAGCAGGGTGATATGTAAAATGTATGTTTTATTGTGCAATGTCAGGGAGTGGAAATATAAAACGCCACTCAAAGTTATAGCTTTGAGTTCGGTCGACGGTCGGTTTACCAGTGAGGGGGTCAGTCCTGGTTTGCTTATGCCGGGCTGGAGCTGAGGCCTGCTGACTGCAGCAGTGAGGCGGGGTGCTGAGCTGCCCAGGACCACCGTGGTGGGTGAGGTGGAGGGGACCGGACCTGAGGCCTGCTGGGGAAGCTGACTCTGCTGGATGAAGGCTGCCGAGTCTGGGGTGAGCTGCCTCAGGGCTGGGAGGCTTCTCTACAGAACATGAACGGGTTACAATTTACAGAGACGCACTGAAAGATGACACTCGGAAAAATGACAATAGAATACAAGCTATCTTACCTTGAGGAAAGGCACAAGGTAAGGTTGGGGCGAGGAGTTGAGCTCTTTGTACAATCTGCTGGTGAATTCCTCCGCTTCCAGTTTGGCCTCCTAGTACAACATTCAGGCATAAAGAGCTGAGAGAGAGCCATCATTTGCAGGTACAGATGATGCTTCCACTTTTAAAGGACAGCTGGGATTCTTTTTTTTTTTTACTTTTAAGTCAACAATAGTATTTATTTGTCATTTGACAATATCCTTGTCAAATGAGAAAGCATGTGTGTCTCCTGTATGTAGGGCTCACTCACCAGCAGCTCCTTGACCAGCTCTCTCACACTGGCTGCAGTCTCTGTAGATTGCTTCCCAGTGGATGCCAGCTTGATCAACGTCGACAGGAAGTTCTTACATTTCTTCACGTTCTCTATTGTCTCCTGCCAAATACACAGAGCATTCAGAGTATGCACAGATTCCCGTCTTGTTTTTTGAATAACCAGGCTAGACATCGCCGCATCTTTTGCCTTCTTTTAGGATACGACTATTAAACGACGGTCTTATCCCTCGGGGGCATAGCACAACTCACTCTGCTCATCATGACTGAGGCAATGGTGGTCCCAGCTGTTTGGCTGACGGTCCTGGAGGTAATTCCTGGTGCTGCAGCCCCAACTGAGCTCTGGGAAGACAGACGTCACCATCATAAACATGTTATTTAGGTTGTTCAAATGTTTCAAACCCCACGTTTCAAGTCATGTGTGGGTTTTAGACTTGCATCAAATTTCAGGTTCATAAGAGGAAACAGGTGCTCTTCTCCTGCACTGAATTTCAGTTGGGTTTGCTTCCTCAAAAAAAGAACTTTTACGACATCAGTAAAGACGTCAGCATCCTATATTTGTAACTGGCAAATCTGCTGACATGTTTCAGTTTCAACTCTTTATAAATAAATCCAGGAAAAAAGTTTCAGGATTACCAATAATCCCGGGCAATAGGAAAAACATTTATTCACACTATGCACCAAACAACACATCTTCTAGAGAATGAGAGTTCATATCCTTTCGATTGAGGCAAAATGCACTCATGAGATCCTTCTAGTGTCACTTTGATGATGTATTATAGTACAGTATGATATTACCAGCTTATGTGTCAAACAGTGAATGGGTCACTTTGTATCATCCATCAGTCTGTAGCATGAGCAAGTTATGGGGTCAGTCGGGGTTACCTGAAGGATGGGGGGTCTGTGAAGGGTGGTGGTCGCAGCGAGTGGCGTTGGGGCGGGACAGCCCTGACGGATTGTGCTGGGGGCCACTAGTCTGCTGATGTTTCCAGGAGCCTGAGCCGAGACACAAAACAGGACGTGATGGACATCACACAGTTTCATCAAACCAGAAGACATCTACTGTTTACATCGTAAATTATACATAAATAAAATGCTAGTTCGAATTTAGCATGAATGACTAGTAATAAATAGGGATATAATGACACATTGATCTGGATCGATATATAGATTTAATGATCAGCGATCTAATATCATCGATGTACAGTGACAACATCGAATCCATATTATCTTTAAGATACGCCTTTAGTTGAAAATGTGTCACTTCCATGTCACCATTTCAGTCAAGTGCCTGTACATGGACTATAACACTGAAGTGACGCAATGGTTGATGGCACAAAGGTCTTCCGAGGCAGACTAGGGGATCTTACCTGGCCAGGAGGCACGCTTGTCGGTGCAGCGGTCCGAGGGGCCATGCCTCCTTGTGCCTGGGCCTGCATCTGGGCCAGAGCCTGCTGAGGAATCATCAGCAGCTGTCCACTCTCACTGCGCACAAGCACCATCCCTGAACCATAAATCACAACAGTTCTGTGTTATTTAGGGAATTCTGGCGCACTACTGATGTTGCATCTGAGAGGACACATACTTTCTATTGGATGACTGACATTAAATAAGAAAATAATCATTCAATATTTATTTGTATTCATGTAAAAGAATGACTTCACTCACCCGGGGGGAGCTGGATGTTATGCAGGCCAATACTGGGCTGTCCCGGTGAGGTCTGGGGCAGCCTTGGGGCCAACATCTGAGGCGTCAGGGCTCGGATCCCGCCGGGACCGCTGGCTACCATCGGAGTAATCCGGGCAGCGCCGACGGCACCAGGACTGACAGCCGCCTGCAGCGGTGCCGACTGTATTATTGTTGTGGGTGGCTCTGCTTTGATTATGTTCGACCCTGCGCTCACAGAGAGCGAGTTGGACGGCGGGGTTTGTATGCCTAAACCTGTGTGACCTGCTGTGTTGAGGCTCGCATTAGTATTGTTCCCATTCAAAGTTGCACCCGACCCCGCGGTGTGCACGGGCGGCCTGACGAGCGTCACCGTGGGTCCTGCAGCCGCAGAGACGACACTCGGGGAGTTCACGAGATGCGTCTGGATTACACTGTTTGACGAGGGATGCATTGCTGCACTGGCCAGCCCTTTGGGCACCACTGGTCCACTGTTGTTGACAGATATCACGGTACCACTTGTCACCGTCGCCCCCGCGAGAGAGTCGGCACTTCCTGAATTGTGAGAGTTCATAACTCGGCTCCCATTGAAAGTCTGCGCTGAGTGTGAGTCTACTATTCCCTGGTGAGTAGGGAGAGAAGTCACAGCGCCACTGACAACAAGTGTTTTGTCCGGGTCGTGTCCCGTGGTGGAGTCCGTCGACGCATCCATGGTTGAACCATGGGGAGGGACCTCGTTATGATGAGAACCCCCACACACACTACACTTCCAACTTGTTTAAAAGAAGCACAGAACAATCTTGAATTTGTGATGGGTGCAAGACTCTGACACTGTTTTTCTCGGTCAGCTGTTGCTTTTCGTGTATACTCGGAGATACAAATAGGTAAACAACAGTAGTAGTTACAGCGTACCTGCTTTTGGCAATCGTCTTGACCAAGTCCCAGCTGGACATTAGCTCGCGCTACCCTCTTGTCCGTGAACTATAGCCGTGTAATTACCGTCTGCCTCGTGCCTACACCAGTGGTTGTTGTGACACAAGAACGACAGATGTGACTCTACAGACTGAACGGGATGACAAACTACCGCTTTATTCGCCTCTGTGTGTAAAAAAGGCTCATCCAGCGGACCGGACTCAACCGCCATCTTCACACTCCCGCGAGGTTGTGAGAGAGCGGAGGGACTTACCAACTGACATGCGCATGCGCATAACAGCGAAACGTCTCCGTGCGGGGGATTTCGGCGAGCTGTGATTGGCTGCTCCGCATTTTAAAAGGCGGTACCAATGGCTTCAGCTGTCATTCCGGGGGATGAGTAAGACGGAACAACATCGTATCTGAGACGAATTGTCTTCATCAAATATTACATCGTCGCCGACGTGTTTACACAAACCCAATGGCGATTTGGTTTCGGAATTGCACCGCGTGACTATTGGTAGAATAATAACGTGGTTTACAGCAAGCCAACGAACCTAATTTCAGAGTTTACTCACTCTTGACGCGCGGGGCAAGATGGCTGCAGTGTTTTTGGCCAACAAGTGAAGTAGCTGTTGTAAAGAGGCGTTTGAGGGCGCCCCACCCTCCTGTTAGAGAGCTAATCGTGTAGCCTACAGTGCTGTCAGCAGTCATGGGACTAACACTGTGGTTAAGGTCCCACGTGCGCTGATTTTTTTAGATAAATGCACGATGCAAACTAAGTGTTTACGTTTTACTTTCATTTTTCAAATATCAGAATCAGAACCGTTTAAATGCCAACGTATGTTGCACATACAAGGAATTTGACATGGTGCATAACATTAAACAATCAACAGTGCAAAAAATATAAACGTATTACAATTTACAATAAAATATAGTGCACAAACAGATAACAGTACTCTAAACAAGTATAATATAAATGTAATGTAAATATAAATATAAGCTAAGGCTAGTCATGTGTTGAAAAGTTAGAAATGTTCAGTACAATTTAAGAGGTGTTAGGCTGTAAGACCCCTCGCTGCTATTAAATCATTTTCTGGTAGGCTTATACACGTTTCATAGATAAGAGCAATTATCGCATCCTCACCTTTTTTATCATTACCAAATACAGCTGCAAGGAATTTTGCATGTGTCAATTTTTATGGAATTTCACGCACAATTGCAATAGAATGAGAATGACATATAATTAGTATTATATTGTACCACTTAGGGTAATCATGTCGTATATATGTTAAAAAGAAAAGGGAAACTGAAGAAGGAAATTTGATATATGATATATATAAAAAAATGTGTTAAACCCCTGTAACTAAACTGCCATTTCACAATATCTATTTCTTTTTCACATCCAAATGTGACTTGATTATCTTGAGCAGTATAATATGATATAACCTATACTATGATAATAAATAAATAAATAGTTGATTTTCCATCTTCTCACCTTTCTGGGGAGATAAAATCCCCCCTATAGCCTACATATTGCCACGTGCAGATTAGGTGGGGCAGATGAATCAAGTGCTCATAATTGTGTCATCAAGGGAGTAAAATAAAAGTATTTTTTTTTAAACCACTTTCCACCTCTCCCTCAAACTCCTCCATGGTCACCGCTGCTAGCCTTTCCGGTCGTGTGCTTTGTCTTGGCAACAGGATGTCCAGTGTTACCAAGGCCGTAACAGTCTTGCGCTTGGTTTCTTGCGGTGTACGCCAGCTAGCAAAAGAAACTAACCCTATTTCACACGCAGGTGAGCGCCATCGGCGAAGAGGCGCGTCACTGAAAACCTTATAAAGCGCACAGGTGCGCGCTGATTGTGTGCACAGCTTGATCTGATTGATTCCGTGTCGGATGTGTGCCGTGCTTCAACGCTCTGAGATTTAGCCGCTGCTTTTGAATTTGAGAAACATATTTTTTTTCGCTGCAAACATGAGTGCTGGAGGAGGCACCCCGTACATCGGCAGTAAGATTAGTTTGATATCCAAGGCGCAGATGCGGTATGAGGGGATATTGTCGTCTGTCGACACGGATAGGTCCACCGTTGCGTTAGCCAAAGGTAGGTTGGTAGGCCTGTATGCGACACGTGTTTTTCTCTTTGATACTTATCTCAATACATGAAGGTAGTGACCTTACCGTTTGTTCCTTAATGTAAGCTGTACTTAAACAAAACTTCTGTGTTTCCCAACAGTTAAATCCTATGGGACAGAGGACCGGCACACAGACAGACCGGCGCCACCCAAAGATGAAATCTATGAATACATAATCTTCAGAGGAAGTGACATCAAAGATATCACTGTGTCTGAGCCACCGAAACCCCACTATGGACTGCCTCGTGACCCTGCTATTGTACAGGTGTGTGTGCGCTCTGAGATTTGGCAGAGTTTTCAATATTATTTGCATATGACGTTCATCAAAAGGTCATACTACTCTATTGATAAAACGGGGTTTCTTTTTGTCTTAACTTTTTTTTGATTTCAGTCATCCCTTGGCAACTCCTCTGCTGCGTATCACCCACGCTGGAGTTCATACAGAGACATGATGCCCACCTACAACCAGCTGGCTGCTACTTCTCTACTCAACCAGCAGTACAACGCAGCACTGGGCCTCGGTACATTTAATGTCTCGGAAATGTCATATTTTTTATTTTTGTCTTTTATTGTTTAGTTGTGTCTGACTTTATGTATTTCACATACTCTGCATGCTTTTATGTTTTGTGCCTCTGACATGGATGTTTTTTAGTGTCTAACAATTGCATCATAATGTCTTTAGTGCATGTTTCTATTGTAACATAATTATCCCTTTTATTTGCTTTGTGTGTGACTTTGAGAGCCTCTGTGTTGCATGTCTTGTTAGTACTTGACAATGTATGAGAGTCTCCTGAGTGATGATACTACGTATATTAATATTCTCTTTTTTTCATTGTTTGTGCACGCATTGTAAAGCGTCAATATTGTCCAACCTTTTAAATTTAATCTTGCGTTCTGTTGTTGGGTTTATTTTGTAACCTCTGCCTCTTGGGACTACAGATGAAAAATAGACTTTTGGCTAACTCTGGCGCATTTACTGAAATGTTTTTATTAATGTGCACTGTCCCTCATCAAATAAACCAATCAATAAATGCTAAAGTGTATTGTCGGTGGCTATTTACCCACCATGTTTGTTCCTGCTCCCTCAGTACCAGGACTTCATGGCATCCCAGCCAGAAGGGCTCCCATGGTCGAGCAGGCTGTCCAGACCGTGCCCTCGGTCAGTGTCTCACCGAAAAGGGAAAAGACTTCTACCCAGCCACAGGGCAAGCAGCCTGTTCGTCCAATCCAGCGCTCTGGACAGGTTCATAAGGAGAACGTTCCCACCAGTAAGAACACTGACACAGTGGCTCATATTGTACAAGATAAAGCACTCGGCTTCTGTTTTTAGCATTGCTTCTAATCCATCTAAAGACTTAAACATTTAATTTATTTATGTTTAGGTCAGGCACCATCTCAGCCAATTGCAGCCAAGGTTCAAGGTCAAGGCACTGAGAACCAGAAAGAAAGGCAAAAGCAAGGTATCAAAATTAGAAATGTTTGCTCCAAGTTATTTCCTACTGACATGCTGCAGTACTTTTGTCATGACTGTTTGTTCCATCAGATGGCAGACGTACAGCAGGAATTTGTTTTTTTTTCTTCCAAGTAGACTCGTTTAGCTCTGCTGTCTGACATGTAATTATCCAGGACTAGATGAACCTGTTCTAAATGGTTACTAAAACAGGTTTTACACTAGTGTTTGTTATCTAAAATTTTTCTGGTGCTCACGTGCAGGCAGTCGCAGGTCCAGGAATCGAAGCAGAGGCCAACTTCTTGTGAAAAACTCAAAGGCCACAACCTTGCAGTTTGAGTCAGATTTTGATTTTGAAACTGCAAATGCTCAGTTTAAAGATGATCTTACTAAGGAGGTTGTGGGTATGTTTATTTCAAAGGATATCTGTCAAAAGTGAACATCACGTAAAGCAATTTGGGGTATATGTGTATATATGCAATTTTTTTTTTTTTTTTTTGTGCGATTTCTCTGCAGTGGAAAAGTCTGATTCTGGGGAGGCCCAGGACAGCCCGGGTACGCAAGAGGACACTCTCGGAGAGAAGTACTACGACAAAGCCAAATGCTTCTTTGACAACATCTCATCCGACCTGAAGCCCAGGTGATTATGTAACTGTCTTTCTGTTACCTCAGCGGTTTGTCATGTTCAACAATATATGTAAATTGTTTTTTGTTGTGCATCCGAAGGAGAACCACCTGGGCGGAGGAGAAAAAAATGAACATGGAAACATTTGGAGTGCCCGGCCGCTTCCTGCGAGGCAGAGGATTCAGGGGCCGAGGACGCAGAGGGCAGAGCACCCCTGAGCAGCGACCCCTCCCAAAAATTGTTAGTGGGAGGGTGTAAATGTGCTTCTTTTGTTTGTCTTTTTGTTAACCTTTTCTGTAAATATTGTAGTTTTCTACTTATTTAAAAAAAAGTACCTCCCTTTTTCCCCCCCCAATTTAAAGCAAAGACTTTTTTTTTTTTTTCTTTTTTTTTTTTTTCTTTTTTTTTTTTTATTTATCCCAAATTCGCATTCAGGGAATTTTGTACTTTGAAGCTTTATTACATGATATGGGAGAGCAATTTATTTTAATCAAGCAGCTGTATGCTGGAAGCAAATTAATTATTTTGCAGTTGGCTTGGTAAAACTAATGTGGAATGTGTCTTTTGAGCAGCCCAGCAGGCCCGTAGTGTAGTTTTTGTTTTTGCTGAATATATTCATTCTTCTCTCTACTTGACTTCCGAATGTAACTCCAAATTGCTTTTGGAGGACAACTCTACTTTACTTTTGTTCGCCTGCTTGTAAAATGAAAACTGTGGAGGACTTTGTAACAGTTGTTATTAAATAACATATAATTATCAGAATGACTTCCATCTCTGTGTTGGCATTGGCATCCATCAACCTTAAAACTACAGCTTGGCTGCGGTTGAAAAGTCCTTTTTGCTTAACAAGGTTCATAACTGAGTGAAGTGACAACATGATAAGTATCTAAATGCTAATGACATCTGCTTCAATGCTTCCTTTCTTAGCTCCTTTAGCATAGGAAACACTGGATCTGTCTTTACCAAAGGGAAGAAGATGATGCAGCCCCACAATTCCTTGCAGCGCCTTAAAATGACGCACCCTTCAGTGGTCCTCGAAAACAAATGAAATGCCCTTGCACCGATTTTGACACTTTTCATACAGTCATAAACTAATGAAATTCATGTTGATGAATAGACTGACTCTTTCATTTTACATGTATTTATTCCCTTCTAACCTGTAAAAAACAATACGAAAGTAAATATAACAAACTGACGATGAACCAACTCTCATAAAACGGATACATTGATAAATGTCCGAAAAGGAACCGGAACAAATAAACACGTACACCTCTTCACACCTCAACTCATTTATCATATAATGCTTTGACTGGTAGCCTATATTCCTTTTGCAATTTTAATTCCAACCCTGGTAATCAAGTCATTTTTTCCCCAGTGTCCAAGTTTATATATGAAGATAATCCTAGGTAGGTCTACAATCAAAACGGTAAAAAGCTCAAAACTGAATGGTTGAATTCACATTATGCACGTTGGAAAAAGTGATATTTAACAGTTCATACTGCACATGAACGAATTGTCCGTTTTCGGTATATTTTATGTGTATATATAGTGTATGGTGAAGTATCTGATGCGCTTTTTGTAGTTCATCTTCACCATGATTTCACCATGCCAGCCCCACGTCAGTAACGTCTGTGGTCGTATCACAATTGCTTAGTGAAAGTGTAGTCGGACTCTCTAAGCACCACAGTTGTATTTTCCTAACTTCATGAATTCTCCACATCTTTCCTTGACCCCAAAGTTTTTTTCCATAGAGGTGAAGGAAAAGTGGTTAATAACAGACATTAAGAGGTCATTTTTGGACTTTTTCACTGCAGCCCTTGTATGGTTTAAAAAATATCCTGTTTGTTTCACCGCTCAAGAACAAATGTGTTGGTTATGTGATGTTTTGTGTGTGTGGCGGCTTGCAAATGGAAGCCAGTTTCTTGAACTTGGGGCCCAAGTCTTTCAGCGCGTTATCGAATGAATCCATGTCGGGAATGTCGATGCTGTCCAGCTCCGAGAGGTTGTCCGAGTCCCCCTCATCTGCGTAGAGGTGAGGCAGATACTCCGGCAGATCTTCCTCTGTCTCCAGGTGAAAGAGCTTCTGCAGGAGGAGTTGAAAAAACGAGCAAATAGTTGCACTAATATGTTGCCCAATAATTGTGCACACATAGATTTTCTCCGAAGAAAGATAAACCTCACTCTTACTTTCTTAAATATTCAGGTTTATTAAGATTTTGGATTGACCGAGAGCACTGTAGTTGTTCAATAATAAAATGAATCCTCAAAAATACGACTTGCCTAATAATGGCGCATGCACTGTATACAGCGATTCTTCTGCTGCAGGCGCATGCATGCATGCTTTTGCAGAGTATACATGATACTATAGCTGCACTACCAACCTTATGAAGCAGGGCTCGGAGAGCTGCGTCCATTGCAGAGCTTGAGTTCCTTTTGTAGAGGAAATTCATTGTCCACTTGTCATCAATCTGTACAAAAACAAGTTCACATGATTACGTTTCTTCAGCTGCTTCCTCAAAGTAATGAGCAATAATGACAATTCAAACAACTGTCTACCTGGTGGTTGCGATGGTTGCCATTGGCTATTAGAGTTTTCCAATTTTCCTATGATTAGAGGAAAGAGTGATACAGGAATTATTTATTTGCATGCAGTTGTAACTGATAACTGAAGTTCAATAAGTGCATATTACCTGGATCCAGTCGTCATTGAATAGGGAGGAAACATTCTCCATGTTGTAATGTGTGAAGTGTTTGCAGATGGAGGTTTGTTCCCTTTCCTGTTGAAAAGTGACAGGAGCAACTGTGATAAACGGATCATTTTGACTACACTGGGTCCACTCAAAATAGCAGTCTTTCATTTTTACAACGCAGGTTATCATCAAAGTATGTGTGAGAAAACCTTTGAAAGTCCAACATTGTGCGTCTCATAAAAATCTGAAGATTGTTGCAATTAATCTAAAACTTAGTCTACATAATTTCCATCTCTTCCCACCTTTGTTGAACATGTGCTGTGTTGCTTTCTGTCATGCTGACTTTTCCATTGAGATGATAAGTAGCGCTTCTTATCAGTGGACAGTGCCAGGACACTGTTAGATATCTTGAGGGGAAAAAAAAACAGTGACTGATTATTTGCATGAACACAAATCTGGAAAAGTATCACAGGATTGTTTTGCAAAAGTTTTTAAGCAGTGACCTGGCAGTCAGTTCCAGGTGTCTCAATGTTCGATACAAGGAGTGTTTCTACAGAGGAATCACTGGTCTCTAAAGTGGTGAACTCCTTTTTGCAGGTGATGACGACCGCCATCAGTAGCAGAACTGTCAGCGAGGAGGAGACCACAAAATGCAATTTGCAGTGAGTTATCAGAATTGTGACAATATCACAGAATTCTCTGATACTAAAGGCAACCATGTAATTTCTTACCCAGGAGTAAAAACAGTGAGGCAAACACTACGCCGATAGCACCGGAGGCAGCTTTTGTGGCAGTGGCACCGTGGCTTCGGCAGTCGGATCTCACAGAGCAATCGCACACGGTCACACTGAGGTTATAAGCGCCAAACTTTCCCTGCATGTCCGAGATCTTCAGATAAATTGTATGTGGGCCAGCCATCACGTTGGGCTTCTTCACCAGTCCAGCTATGTATCCTGCGAGAGACAATCCCAAATTCAAATGTTTTTTGTTTTTTTATGTATGCCCTAATATTTCACTTCATATCTTTGCTGTCTCTACCATATGAGGGATCCAGTTTCCATTTTCCGTTGACATCCCCCAGCAGTTCAAATGTGAAAGGCCCTCCGAATGGATTGTCATCCAGGTCAAAGGCTGTGATGTTTGCGGTGGTGGGGCCGTCAGACACACACATGTCAACATAGTCCACCGTTAGGTGAGGCACGTTGTCGTTCTGGTCAGTCATATGGATGTTCAATGTTGCTGTGCCTGTCATTGGTGGCTTGCCTGTCCAAGATGGGAAAAAAACAAGAATACGAGTCACTTACAGTAAGGTCAGTATGCTAACATGCTCACAATGACAATGCTAACATGTTGATGTGAAGCAGGTATAATGTTCACACTATTTTCACCACCTTAGATCAGCATGTTAACATTCGGCAGTGGGAGGTTTAGGCTATTTTGCTAGTATTTGGTCAGAAATGGAAATGTTGACGCTAGATGAAAAGGATCACCAAAGTTATTCCAAGTTATCTTTTAACAGGTGCTTGAATATATGTTGGACATTTGATGGAAATCCAACCAACAGCTGTTGAGACATTTCACTTAAACACTAATGTGAACCTCATGGTGGCGCTAGAAGAACAGTCAGATGATAACCAAAGTCATTAGGGGTGGAAGTGATTAATCACATTTACTCTCCTTATTGTAACAAAGTCATGTTGGTCTACTTTTACTTTTTGGAGATTTTTTTGTTGTCGTCTGTAATTATACTTCTGCTAAAAGTTATCACAAGCACTTTGTTAAAGTTGCATCCGTTACAGAGTAAAAAGCACACGTGACATGAAAAGCTCTGATAAACTGAGTGGGAATAGAACAGAGGAAAGGACATGAGAGGAAAGCTCCACGTTCTCTTCATGCGTCTGTGTCCAAAGTGGTGACACTCCGGAGATGATTAGAGATTTGGTTTGAGTTCATGGGTCACGGGTTCAGGTGCCTGAGCCACTAGCACCTCCAGCTCAATCAAGTTTAGGATCACATGTGGGGTTAGGGTTATAATTAGCATTATTGAACCCCTGTCATAGTTTTAAATTGTTATATCCACCTTGATTAATAATGACGGATTTATTAAACCACCTGGCGAGCACTCATAGTTGACGCACCCACGATGTTCGTCACCTGCACAGTATGGACAGCTGGGTCTGGCTAGCATAGCATAGCATAGCATGCTGTGGTGGGTACTCAGGTGTGTGAGGAGCCGCAGTGGGACCAGAGAGGGTCCGAGTTGACTGGTTATACTGGGGGAGAGAGACCGATGGACCGGTTATGTCATGCTCTGAGACGTTGAACCCGGACCACATTATGATGATGGTGAGTACCACAACACGCTGCTGAGCGCCGATGAGAACGTCAACAACCGATGGCAACGTAGTTTCGTGCGTTGTATTGTTTTACATGTCCACGTCGTCTGCTTTGGGGATGTTTAAATCTACCGTTGATTCTGAAAGGAAGTTTCAGGCGCCGTGGTGTCCATAGCTCGTTTTATTTGTTTTTAGTCTCTTTTTCGGGTTTTCTTGTGAGGCTACACTGAGGAGCGCAGTTGTATATTTATAATTGATAATCGGTTGTTTGCACCGACTGCAGAGTGGTCTTGTTGCTGATGTTGTTCAACTTAAGTTAGGTCAACAAATGATGCAATCTATTTTGTACCCTAAAGATGTTCTTTAATTCAACAGTATCTCACACACACACACACACACACACACACACACACACACACACACAACCACTACTACCCCCGCGTCCCCCTTTTTATAATGTAACGCCACCAGCCATACATTTTGCTTCTACTTGAGTACATTTTAACAAAATTAGTTTTTCTTTCAAATTTCTCTTGAGTAACAGACAATGATCTAGTAGGCTACTTTTTCCACCTCCGGGGTTAATCATCTGGGAAGAGTACATGTCTATACGCCACATTTTTTGCCAATCCATCCAGCAAATTTGGAGTTATTTCACAAATTAGGTGGAAACTGTGAATTGCTTGTGGCACCAGAGGAAAAGTCAGGGGATCACCAAAGTCATCCCTAGAGCCATGCTGCAATAGCATGGCTAAAATAGTGCGACAAAGCAGTAGAGATTTGAATGAAACATTTCCTCAGTCGTAACAATATAAGATAATTGGTTTGTGTCAGTGCCATCCAGCAACACTTTGAGTTTTACCAGCGTCCACTGCATGCACTAAGATGGTGTAGACACCGTTAACGACATGAGGGGATTCTCTGTCTGGCGTCTTGGCTGTTGTGATGTCTCCTGTGTGTGGATCCACCGTCACCCAGCCAGCAGGGTCATTTCCTACCTTGTACCTGAGGACAAATACAATGTGCTTTAGTATATAGGAGGTCCCAGATTAGAGCTCCCACATATTATAACCAGGGCATTGGATTCTTACGCAAGTGAAAAATATTTTTTTCTCTTCCTTAATCCAGCTGACAAACAAACCAGAGGGTAAACATAGCCTCTTACACAAAATCTCTTGCGTGACTGGAGTCGGGATCCACAGCTGTCACCTTCTCCACCCAGGTTCCAATGGGTGCGTTCTCCTCCAGCATGGCCTCTTTGACCGTCACACTGAAAAGCGGGGGGTCGTTGGTATCCTCAACTTCGATGACGACTTTTACAGAGTGAGGCTGAGGATCATCATCACGTTCACTGGAGTCAACTTTCCAGAGGCCTGAGGGCGTCTTCTCCCTCACTTTACAGGAGAAATATGGCGCCTCATTTTCCACTGAAATGGTCAGCTCCACTTGTGCTCCCTCCTCGAAGTCTAAAGGCTGAAATTGTACTGTGGTTATGTTTAATTTTTCATTTATTGTATGTATCATTCATAAAACATTCATTCTGTTAAAGCCCTTAAACGTGTAAACCTCAAGTGAAAGCAGACGTACTGTGACAAGCATGCGATGTAGTAGTTCGATTTCCGACGAGAGGTGGGTGTCGCTGTAATGTAAAGCATGCAGCTAGGCGTCACTTACTTTTATGACTGTCAGGATTCCATCATTGGTGTCTGGGTCTGTTTTTATTTGAAAGTGCTCTCCCTCGTCACCCTGAATGGTGTACTTGGCTCTCCATGCCGGGCTGTTTGGGGTGTCTTTGTCCGAAACATGCAGCCGCAGAGGAGAGGTCCCGCCCTCATCTTCTTTTACTTTGCCAGAGCCCTACGGTATGAATCACAGGTGCAGAGGTCAGGGGGAAAGAAATCTGCCATGCTGCTTCTTACCACTTACCACCAGTATCAAGTATATTATAGCCTACATTTTTCACCTTCAATAACTGGGAGTTGACGAGAAAATATAAGTGTAAAATGATCTGGATAAACGGCACTGAAAAATCTGTTGTATATATTCCTACCTTATCTGAAAATAATGTTTTTATGGTTATACAATCGGGGGTTAACCAACTATATAAAAATAAATTACTGACAAAAGTGTTTGAAAAACATATGTCATATTTTCAAGTCTAGCATGTACTGTACGTCAGAATCGTAGATTAGAGGTGTGATTATTGCATGTGTTTGTAAAGATATGTAGAAGTGAGTGCTAAAATCATTGTGGTGATGTGTAGACCTTGCTAACCAGGACAACTGCTTACTGTTTGTCCGCTGATGGTTGGGAGGTGGTTGTTGCCGTCCTCTACATGGATGACGACAGTGGTTGAACTGGAAAGACGGACTACGTCACCGTAGTCCTTGGCTTCCACCACCACTGTGAACATTTCAGCCACCTTAATGCAAGAAAATGAAAAATAATTTGATTACAGTTGTAGTCTACAGAACTGGGTTATTAATCCAGTCCAGTTTGCTCCTTCTATAATGATCAGTGTGTCTTGCATTCCCAAAAAGTAGTGTGATCACACTTGCCTCATGGTCCAAACACCCTTTAAATGAGATTACTCCAGACTCTTCAATGGTGAACTTGGTGTCTGAAGAGTTTGGAGCCACAGACTTGATTTCATAGTGGAATGTTGAATTTGGCGTCCCTCTCTGGTCTCTGTCATATGCTACCACAGTCAGGAGAGGTGAGCCTGATGGGAAATGACAAGAAAGGAGTGCACTTATTAGACACTGTGAGAGAAAAAAACATGTACTCTAGAGTCTTTAGGCTTTACCTTGTGGGGTTTCCTCATCAACGCTGATTTTAAACAGATCCGTCGGAAAGCGTGGTGGGTTGTCGTTGATGTCCAATATGGAGATTTGAACTCCTAATGTGGCGTCAATCGACAAATCAGTCTTTCTGGCCTCAAATTTCAGCTACGGATTGAAAGATGTGATTCAATTGCGGTCACAATGCAAAGAAAACAATGTGATTTGAATGACTGGATATTGTAAAATAATATGGAGTAAAACTAGATTTAAGTGTGCAACACCACTGTTGTCCTGTTTGTATGAGCTGCAAGGACCTGAACCTAACATAATAATACTAAATAAAAAAGCATAGTTTCCAATGTGTTTTATTTATTACAATACCAATATGACATATGTGCATCCCTAATCAGTGTGTCGAACTTTACAGCAGTATACATAACAAAAGTGGATTACTAGTTGTTACTAAATGTTGGAATGTTACATGTGAGTCTAACCTTAAGCATTTTATTCTCCTCGTAGTCCACAGCCCTGTGTACAGACACGATGCCAGATTCCTTATGAATAGAGAGAACTCCTTTTGGCTCCTTATCCACTCCTTCTCCATAGAGATCAAAGTATACTCGATATGTCCGCTCAATATTTATCTGTAAGCAACAAACACTTTACAGTTGGCTTTGGGGAGCCTGAGACTTTTTATATGTCTTTTATACGTTTTCATGATGAAATAACATGATCTACCATGTTTGGTAACTGTATTTATTATAATCAACAGGTCTATCAATTGATGATATTTGGTATCTGAGCTTGAAAATGAACACATTGGCTATTCTGGCTGAACTTTTTATCTACTGACTGGATGGTTTCTCACATTGCCCAGCTCATATGGGAAGGGCCCTGAATGCCCCTCCTCAATAGTGAAAGACTCAATGATCCAAGCCCTTCTGTGACGGCTCAGCAGCTCCGAGCATGTTGCACTTGAGGAATACAAAACCTGAAAGACAAGAAGCCAACCAAACCTGAAGCACGGGGTCTTCATTCTGAAGACATTCTTCCTTAGAAGTTTCACAGTTGTAATGAAACTTCTCAGGAAGAATGTTTGTTTGACAATGTAAGTGTTTAAAACTCGTGCTACTATTTTGGGAAACCAGTTCAGAAATGCAAACGCACACACACCCAAACATTTCCAGAGAAATGATTACATCACAGTGGGATGCTGTACTTTGCAACTCATGTTTGACCATACAGAGTATTTTTATTTATTTTTTGTATCAAAGAGGTACATTTTACACCACTGACTCGCTTAAACACTTGTGGGAAGACATTGACCTCCATGGGAACTTAGACCAGTGGAGTGATGGGAAATAATATTGACAGTAAACAAAGGTAAACAAGTGCCTGATTTTTATAGATAATCAAATAGTTGGAACCCTATTATATTAATAATAATAAATATTAATATTACATAATTTAAAATCATACTGTTACACTTTCAATCAAAATGAAAGATAAATGAATATTCCTTTTTAAGTAACACTGACTTTAGTCAGAAATTGACAGCTATAAAAATCAAGTAATAGCGTCAAACTTTAACTGAAGTCATTTCAAAAAGACTTTAAGTCGGTGTTGCTACTTACCAGGAGGAAGAAGCAGAGCATGGTGCTTGTTCAGTACATCCAACTGTGAGAATGTACGAGGACTGGCTTTTTCTGACATTTAAGCAAAGGGAGACGAGACCCTGCCCCCTTTTTCTTTACACGAAGAATAATAAACACAAGTGTGTGTGTGCGTGTGTGTGTGCGTGCATTGCCTCCAATACGTCACTGTTTGGCTCATTCGGGTTCCTTAGAATTGATCCAACATTTGCAGGGAAGTCTCAGCTTTTGTTCTTTTGTTTTCATTCGACACTACATTTGACACTACATTTGACACTTCATTCTGTTTGTCCTCCTCAAGCTTCCGTGGAAACACCTTGAAATAACCAGGAACAGTTGTGTTGATTATCAGAAGCAATGAATACATGTTCCTCTCTTCCTTTATTGTTAAAACAAAGAAATCCTGCTTGAGATTCATCTAAAATTGGAACTTTGAAAACTGAATTTTGCATCGGCAGGACAATGTGTTGGTTTGAAATACAGAACTTTTAACAGTATGAAGTCTTCTATTGCGAAATTTACCGGGAGTCACCCAATTATCATTGTATTGTTCTAGTCACTGCTTTACTGTACAAAATGCATCATTTACCAACAACGGGTCCCGTGAGGTCAGAAACCGGGGAGCAAATCGTATCTGTCAAAACATGCCAAAACATAAATGGAAACGGGTGAGAATTAATAAATCTCCGTATTTACAGTTCACGGCTTCCACCTCCTAAACAAACACACAGAGCACAACTCATCAATCACAGGAAAGGTTGAAAGCAGCTGTAGGAGGCAGTGTGTCGCGGCTGAGAGGCCTCTTTCAATAGCTTGTATGCCAAAGTCAGCTCTTTGCCCTCGGCCGAGGTGTCAACTACCGCACTGCAGGTGGAGACCTGTTGTGCAGAGGGTGCTTCCTACGAAGATGGAGTCTGACTTTTCACCCTCTCCAACTCTGGAGGCACGGCTCTTCGCTTGGCTGTGCTGGTGTGCGTTTCCTCATGGTCTGACCTGAAGACTGGGGTGTCTCTTCCGTTGGCATTGGTGGTCTGACTGTCAGAGGAGGAGTTTGAAGACGTGGAGGACGCGCGGGACTTGGCATCAAGATCCTCGAGGACGTGTCGAAAGAGTCCATTACTGATGACTTCGTTGTTGTTGTTGTTTCCTTGGACTGTGGGTCAGAAACAAAATCTTGTTAGGGATGTAACTGCGCAGCGCTTCTTGTAATCTCTGCTCTGTTTCTGGTTTCCATACCTGGCAGCGGGGGGGTCAGCACCCCCTCGTCTCCCCCAGAGCTGAAAAAGACATCCAAGGCCTCCTGGTCAGAGATGTCGATCAGCTCCATCTGGTCCAGCAAGTCCACGTTCACCTCCATGGACGAGATGCTGCCAATTGGAGCTGCAAGAGAAGGGAAGCAGTGAAATGATGCGCATCTGTGTATGAGCGTGCATTTGTGCATGGATTTATAAAAAGGCCACCAGTCCGACTCACGCCTCTTATAGTCTCGGATACACAGGTGCGCCGAAGACAGGTAGACGTCCACGTCATGTTGGAAGACCTCCTCGAAGAAACGCTGTCTCTCTCTCAGCTTGAGCTGCTGTGCTGCGTCCACATCTGGGAGCCTCTGGCCTCGCTCGGTCTCCACTGGCAATCGCAAAACAGGAAGGACATGAAGTTAGAAACCAGCTCAGGGAAAGTCTAACATCTGATACCAGGAAGCTGCATTACAATCAAGCACCATACAAGGAGATTTTCAAACCAGTTCTTCCTCTCTGGACGCAGGTGTGCTAAGCAGTGAGATAACCTGGTGTTTTATAATATGACATATTGTTTGAGATCCATTTTACAGTCACTCAGGGGTCAAATATTGGGAGCCAGAAGGGGGAGCCATTGAGCTGTAAGTGAGAGACATCAGGAGGCGGATTCTCTTTTGTATGGACTTATGGAGAGGTAATTAACAGTTGGTGACATATACATTATCTCGACTACGAAACGATATTGTTGATCAACTGTTTCCGTTTTCTACGGAACTTCCACTGACAAGCTGCTTTTCCTGTCTTTCGTCAGGACGCTAATAAAACAAGCTTGCCAAACATTCACCACTGTACTAGCCTGCACATTTATTAAATGTCCACAGATCAAGCTGCCAGGTCCTCGGACAAGTTAATCTTGTCTGAGATACCATACGGCCCTTTTTCCCCCCCTCATCAGCATCATTCTAATAAGGCTGAGTGCAAGTCCAATGTGTGCGAGTGGATGGGTGAACTGCAGCAGTGTGACTGCAAGAGGAATGAGGAGAGGGGAAATGCTGGACTGTAAATGTCTGACGCTATGAGTGCTCTTTTCTTCGACTGAGAAGGAAACACTTGAATTGAGTCTGAAGTCGACTCGCTAAGCGGTTGCTTTTTACAACAAGTTGTACGATTAAGCATGAAGTGCGACTTGTAAACTAGTGAGCTTTAGAGGGTTTTGTAGGTGGACCGAGCCAAGCTAGCAGTTTCACCCTGTTTCCATTTTTTTGTGCTAAGCTTACCATGTCCTGGTTGTAGCTTCATATTTACCTGACAGACATATGAGATATCATTCTTCTTATGTAACTCTTGCACATACTGTGAGTATGCACTGACACATTTTGCATTCTTTTATTATCTCCACCAGGCGTAATCCTGGAGAGAGGTCATGTGTTCGGCCGTGCGTCCATGACTGAGTGCATGTGCGCCTCTGTGTCTGTCCGCGGCTAATCTCGCATTCTGCTGCTTACCCCTAACTCACCACTCTTAACTGCCCCACTGGCTGGTAGGGGCTGTTAGTGATAACTAACAGGCACTAGTCTGCGGCCAGAGACGCGGTGGGACAAAAAACAGTTTTGGTATGTTTGGCTAACGCAACTAGAACTACACACACTGCTGAGTACCTTTGGCCGCTGCTCTGCGGCTCACTTTTATTGTATTTTTTGACATTGTGATTGGCTAACCGCTAGCGGAACTACCAGTGCCTCACCACCACTCAGCTGCTGCTAAGCAGCCAGACGGCTTAGGGAGTTTACCTTTGTGTTTTGGCATGATTGCATGAAGTGTACTATATGATGACTTTACAGCACTGGTTGTATTCATTCAATCGCACAATACAGCGATGGTCGTTGCAGACACACCTGGCGGAGATCTGCACTCTACTGAGTGCACCTTTCTAGTTGTAAAGTGCATTTCTATTCTGTTCCCCCCCTCAGCTTAGAACTGGTATGTTGCATTAGTCATTAGAGCAGTGTCTGAGTTTTGAGGAGCCATTACAACATGCAGTCAGGGATTGAGCTAATTGGATGAGGCTTTCAAACCATGTCTAAATTCCAGGGATTGTCTATTATCTCTGACAATATTAGGGGACTCCCGTTAAGATGCACTGCAGCCATAAATCAATAACTGCTGCAGTCAGGATAAAGCTGCAAAGTTGCCTAATAGCAGCAACAGGTTGCAATCCTCGGAGCGCTGTGTCAGCACAGTCCTCCCCACAAGTCGTGTCACGCGTCTGTGGTGACACAAGGACACTCGCCTGTCACTGCAGCTCTGCTCTGCCCTGTTTGACAGCCTCCATCCTGGGTGCAGGAACCTGCTTGGCTCTGGGATCAGACTGGGCAGACAGCTTTGGAGGGAAGAGGAGTAGAGGACAACTCAAACCACAGGGCTGGACCGGCTGACTGCACCTATGGGCTTACAGTATGTGTGAGACAGAACCTGGAAATATAGACTGGAATTCCCCAAAGACTGAAAACACACAAATCTTAAAAAAAAAAAAAGTGATGAGTTGACAATATCTGCCCTGACACAGTTATCATAGAGTAACTGCATGTGTTTGGTTCGAACTATTGAGCTGAAATGATAGACGAACAAAGCATCAATGTGTCTTGTGTAATGACATTTTGAATGATCCTGTGAATAGACACGTTGTCAGTGATCATAAGTTTTTTTTTTAGCTTGATATCAATAGTGCTGTGCAGCCTGACTGGCTAGTCTTCAATAAAATGATCTGATAAACCAACCTCATATGCCTATCTCTGGCTTTTCGGACAAATTCAGATCCTTCTGTGCACAAAACTGCTCCTCTCACCCTAATTCATCCTCCTCCTTACTCTTCATCCCGAACCAAAACGTAATTTATTTCCTGTTCCATATGGACATACTGCATGTCTAATGCATACCGCATTTTAGCTCCTAAGAGAACAAAACATGTTGACAAAGATCCAGCTCCTCTTATCTCCCTGGTAATGGGATACCTTCCAGAGAGCTTGAGACCTTGCAAGAAATCAATTTGCAAATAATAATAATGGTCAAAATTGGTGGAGCAGAGATTGAGATACTATTATTATCATTATTACTACTATTTTAGTCTCTAGTATGGGTCACGCTCTAGAAATGCTGGAGCCTATGCTAACCATAATGCCACTCAATGGCGTCTTTTATTTTTAGTCTCCCTGCCTGGTAAATGCCAATATCTTTCAAATTCCGCAGCCCTAATTTACAACTGAGGCTTTCTAGATTTGTAGTCTCCAAACCCAAGATGAGATATTCCCGACCTTTCCTGAAAGCTTAAGAGTGCACCAGTTTATCATTTAACTTCTATAACTTTGTTGGACTCAAATACAAAAAAAAAAGGATCTGAATCGATGCAGCAGAACCAGAGACATTGTCTTTTTCTTCTTCCTTGTCAAAACCTGGTGACTACATTACCCATAATTCAACTTGAACAGTTTGGTCGGAGATTTAAGTACGTTATGCCAGGCAGTAGCTATAGATGAGGAGCCGTCTGGTGAGCTCACTTCTTTCTAACTCCACATCACCAGATTTTTTTTTTCGTCTTCAAACTTCAGCCCCAACTGACTCTGACTCAAGTGACATCTCTTGAGGCAATTTATCAGATTTGGAGCAGCTCCCTCTGGAAACCTGTACGCAGACTTTGATGTGTAAAATTGGCGCACTTCACCCTTTTAAGTAATTTCCATCACTGCTCTTTAACAGGCAGACACAGAAAGTCTGTGTAGGAGGCGACGTTAGTGATTACAATTATGCAATGAAGGAGTCCGTCAGTGCCGCCAATCACATGGTACAACTGCTCTTTAGAAGCTGCAATCTTCCATAAGAACAGTGAGATGGCAGGTGAATGATTACAAGTTGTTTATCTTGTGCCAATCGTCATTATGGTCATTTTGTTTTTACAGCATTTCTGTGTCTTAATATAGATGTCGGAGGTTGTGCGAGTGTGTGTGTGTGTGATGCGTCCCTTTTGTTGCACTGTTGCACAATCAGAAACACTATATTGTCTACGGAGTCTTTCGGAAGCGAAGGGAGCAGCGCTGACGAAGCAAGATGTCATTCACAATCAGGAGCTGCCTGTTTGACGCGCGCGTCTAAATGAAAAGAGCTCCTTATTTAATGTGACCAGCCGAGGACATCGCGTCTGACAAAACACTGGATTTGTACGAGATGAAAGACTATCCGCTCTTTACTTTTCAAAAGAAGGGCGGACAGGACTTCAATAGAATGTTTGAGAACAAAAATTATGCTTTTCATTAAAAGCTACAGGTTTACACAAATTGCTTATCCTGCAGCTTTTCTTCACGCTCAGTTAAACACTGATTGATCTCAGCATTGATTGTTTCCACTTAAAGGCTGAGGCCTGTGGTGAGCTGAAGGTTAGCTACAGATGCATATCCTCACATTGATTTTGCTTCCCTATCCAGTTCTTTTCTCATTTAATCACCTTGATCGAAACGGCTTCCCTGGCCGCGGACAACCCTGGTGACCTCCGATTAGCACAACCACTCACACGGGAAAAACGTCCACTGCTGATGAGATGTACAGTCCGCTGCAGCCCAAAGTCTTTCGTCTCATACTGCAAGATGTCTGAAGGGCCTGTGGCTGCTCGAGAGATTATTTCTTTATTTGCCTTTCTTTCTGTATGGGTTCTTTTTGCCTTTATTTACTTTTCTTTCTTGTTTTATATCTTCTTATCTTTCATTCTGTCTGTCTGTCTTTGGGTACATCCCAAGTCTCTCCTTTGTCATTTCCTTGCTCCTCGTTTGAACCGGAAGTTCAGGGGATGCAATTAAGAGACTTGGGATGTACCCCTCGTGCATCCTCGCTCATGGCTCCTCAGAGATCCCTCCTCGCTCCTCAGAGCAGAAATAAGAGCTTTGGGACGGCCGTCAATATGGCGGCACAGAACAACTTCCGGTTATGGTCTTTCTCTCTCTCTCTCTGTCTTCTGTCTTTCCTTGCATCTTTCTGTCTTTCCTCTTCCCATCTTTTTGTCTCTTTGTGTCTTTGTTCCTGTTTGTCTTTTTGTCCTCTGTCTCTCCATGTTTTTGTCTCTATTTCTTTTTGTCTATTTTTCTGTATTTATTTGTCTCTCTGTCTATCCTCCTTCCTGTTAAACTTTCTTTCTTTCTGTCTGTCTCTCTCTGTCTCCTGCTCCTTCCTCTCTGCCGCCCCCCTCCTTCCTTCCCCTGAGTCTTCAGGGACTGGAGAAAGAAAAGGTCATGGGTTCAGACCCAGTTGGACATGCAGAATGACTGGAACAGACAGAAAGATAGAGACAGACAGAGCGGGCCTGACGTGTTTGTGTGCCACTCTGCCTCCCCACATAAAGACAAA